CTTACATAATAATTTTGCATTTGTTTAAGAATACCTTTACTATTTACTATCTCTGGCGTCATAATGACGCTGAAAATTTCAACATCGCCGAATACTTAGCCATCATTTCTCAATCTCTTCAAACAGTCGAGGCCGGATGTTTACTTACCATTCATTGCTCAATCATCAAAGTTTTTGATAAGGGATAAAAAGTTTTTTTTTTCAATACCAAGGGTAAAATTTACCGGTTTGTGGTATTATGCAATACCTCAAAGAGCTCTTACGGCTTTCCGTTGTAACCAGGCATCCTTTACTCCAGACCATGGTTACGGTATTTTTTCCTTCATTTTTTTATTATTTAAGATTTCAGATTATTTTTCGTTTCTTGGATATTCTGGGATTATTATAGGACTTTCGGTCATCTTCTTCGATCTTCTAGACATCGAAGTAGACGGACAGAATTACAATTTTATATGCAGCCATATTGAAGCCTTAAAATAGTAGTTGGTTATCTCTCCTATCAAACTATATTTTTTTAAATAAATTTATGTTAAGATCAGATAAGTTATTTCATGTAATTTGTGTGTGTAGTGTAAATATTCGATTTATAACTATAAATTAAAGAATTATTTATTTTTGTTGCATATCTTTTTTTCTTTTTTTTTTTGTCTTAATAAATAACGTATGACACGGAATCATATTGGCATTCATTATTTATCTGGCCATACCATGCATGTTATGAAAAGTTATATTTTTAAACCTATTCTAAAGATTTTAATCAAATTTAATATATATATTTTATATTCATGGTTTAAAGGAAAAAAAACTTAAAACAATAAACTTTAAGAATATATGTTTAAGATAAGTGTGGCTTTATCTGGGATACCTTTCATCACATTTCAATAAATTTGGCAACCCATCATCCGAATAAACTGACTGAATAGTTTTAAAATAATTTGACGGAATAGAAAATAATATTTTCTGAACCAAATAATATTTAATCTAATTTTGTTAAGTTTATTGGGCAATGAAAACTAATATATTTTTTTAATTCTAAAACTGGCGAATAAAGACAATATTGCTACACATGGTTAAAAATAATGGTTTGATAATTTTTAAGATTCCGTAAAATAGTGACGTAAGTCAAATTGGGGAAGTTTCTAAACTCAGCGCTGTATTTAGGAACATGCCCATAAAAAGATAGTTTCCTGGCCAATCGAAATAATTGCAATAAAGAAAAACTTGAAAGGTTTAAATTAATTTTTTTTTTACTTGAATTTATTTTTGAGTTCTAATTAATATTAACAGTTGATAAAAAATGTCTGTATTGATTCAAAACTTTAAATTGTTATTGTCTTCATTTCGTTTTTGTTTTTCTGTAAGAGAGTTCAATATTTTTTTTTAAACCTGTAATCAAAAAAGATTTTTAAAATTATTAATCTGGACCATTATTAAATTTCATGTTGATAAAATTTAGTTGTTGTTTGTTTTTTTTTTCATAAAAATGGCATTTTGAATTCCTTTAAAATTAGACAAACGGATAAAAAATGAAAGGTAAAAGAAAATATTTTAATTAAAAACAAAACCCGGCCACAGAAAACGAAAAATCCTATCCATTCTAAAGGGATGTACTTCCATATGTCTAATAATTTGAGTCATCAAACTTAAAAATCGGTCAAGCAGTTTGCTAAAAAAAATCCTTACATACCTTCTAGTGGACAACTCAAACACGTAACCTTCGAGTGGCCTCAACGTTGTTGGCTAAAAATTAATCGTGTTATTTGATAACACGAAGAAAATATACTATTTTAAAAAAATATATAATAAAATCTAGGTTATAATGAGGTTATATCGATCGGTGATTTACTGTATGAATAAAGATATGGTCTCATGGATTCACGATGCCATTGATGAGCTCGTCTCTAAATTTAAGAACTCCACTTATGTTCCAAGTGGGTAGAAGTATCGTTAATATTTAAAAATTCTACTTATTTTTCTGCCCTTTCTCTAGTGAGTGTGATTTCTTTCCTAATATGACTGGAGCATTATTTAAAATGGTGGTTCAGGTAGTTTTGCCCACAGATGAGGCACCGTGGTTTAGATATGCATTGCAGAGGTTGTAGCAATGAAGACAACGACATGGGCTGGAGGGAGGCCTACGTGCTGGGCATAACCCTCCCCCATGTGATTTGTTTATGACTCAACCAGGGCGCATACATACCCCCCCTCTCCCCCCTTCTCTCCCCCCTCCCGCCACTCCCTTTTCTGAAATATGGTTCCATTGTTAATTCCCTCCGCGGTAAGCTGCATTGTTCGAGTTTATAGTTTTTTTTTCTCTCTATCTCTACGTGAAACCAATCTAACATTTTTGAATCGTAAAAATTATTTTCTGAGATCTATGGAAACTAATAACGTTCCTATTTTTTCTGTCATAAAAATATCCTTTTTAGGGTAAATTTATAGCTTGAAGTTTCATGGTCACCTTATACAATGTTTTCTATTTTCATTGCTTGTAAGAACAAAAGGACCGTATAACTCGAGTTATAAATTTTAATTTTATTTATTAACAGTTATTAGTGAAAGGTTATCAAGTCCCATCCGCATCACGAGTACAAGACTTTTATATTGGTCTCACCAGACTACTTTTTTGGTGGAGAGTGAATTAGATTGAGCCGTCAGATCTCCGATGTGTAACGTTCGGGTGAAGTCGGATTATTGAAGTGTTTTTGCATATGGATTAAAATATCACAAAAACTAAAAATCGGACCTGTATATTGTTAGTGATGGAAATGTTCATCCTCTCTGTAATGAGCTATGATTCAAAATTGTTCCTTAACGCGAAGCCATGTTAGAGAGGCCGAAAGCGAAAAAATAGTATCGAAAACCAAATGGTAAAGAGTTTTATTGAAAATATGGATTAAAATATATCAGAAACTAATAAACGGACCTACATACTATAAATGAGGGAAATGTTGGGTATTTCATCTTCTTTATAATGAGCTTTATTTATAATTTATATTTCACATTATAAATCTCGCCTTGATGTTTTCACTTCTACCGTGTGATATAAAACAGACGCCTTAGTTTTTTTTTTTTATTAGGGTAGGAGTTATTGTCGTGTTTTATCTGAAAATAATAAATGTTTGCACTGTATTGAAGGTCGTCGGAAGGGATCGGAAGTATTTTATATCTGTTTTACACTGCTATAACTAGAGACCGGATTTTCTTGCTGTAAAAACCTTTTAAACATGCAATAAAGAAATTTAAAACATGCAAACAGATGCAATATAGAAAACAAATTATTACCTCTATATACGTTACAATTTTAACGTCGTTGGCGAGAAAATCTCTGGATTTAGGTTAGCTTGTACTGGAGCCTGTAGAATTGAGGGTAGTCTTTCCTGTAAAGCTCAACAACATTGCGGGCCTCTCTGCCTATCGCCCAGCGACAATCACTTTTAAATATATTTACATTAATTTGGATTGTTTATTTGGAACTCAAGATTTTCTGGTTATAACGGCCACGAATATATTAAATTTTGTGTTTGTTAATTATGTTGCCCTCATAATTATAAACGTGAAATTGTATTTATATAGGGTAAAAGTACCAATAATTTAAATATCTGACACCCTCCTCGATAAATGGGAATAATAAAATTTCAGAACCTCCTAGACCTCTATTTCATGTATTTTTAGTTTATATATTTTCTCCTTGTATTTTTATCAACTTTGCTTTAATCTTGACAGAAATCACAACTGAAATAATGAGTGGCAAATTGAGAAGGTCTCTCATGGTCCACTTAATGTCCCAGGAATAACAGTAAAAGCACCATACCTTAGGTTTACCATTTTCACTTTAACTACTCAGATTTATTCCAAAATTTTTGTTTGATTCTCTTTTGGAGTGTTTTTAAATCATGTTTTGTCTGTTTTTAACTTATCTTGATGAAGGAATCGGATATTTAATGGGTGTCAGCTACTGGAGCCTTATAATGGGGAGTTTTGCCAGTATTTGACAGGCCTATACTACCATAAATTCAAAGAGATATACTCAATCTAAGGGGACTTAAAACTGGGACCATTCACTACTGTCTCCTTAAGAAAAATGCTAATAATTTGGATTAAATATAAAGCAAAAAAAGGTTTTCCTATTGGCAAAAACAGATTCTTGTCAGTGACCAGCATTCATTGATACATTTAAGTCGGGAAACACAAGAAGTTAGTTTTATTATAAGTTAAAGGTAATTTTTGTTAATCTTAAAGTGGATAATATGATTTTTTTTATTTTTATTATTTTAATGGAATTTACAACTGTTTTACATCGAAAATACAATAAGTAAATGTGAAATTGGTAATATGACATGTACAGAAACTACCCATTGGTAGAACTCAAAATATGAAAATTAACTTAATTACATACGTTTTCTCATTCCTATCAGCTATACATTTCAAATCATCAACAGTTATCAACGGATTAAATAAATATCTCTTAAATTTGATTCCTTCAAATCTAGAAACTTTTATATTCCCTCTTATATCTCAAGCTAAATGCAAGTTCTTTATATTTGGTTCTACATTTAAAAATATTTTATGTATTACATTTGAATATATATTTTCTTTGGAGGAAGTAGATATATCCCAAGAGAAATATCATGTTTCATTCATTAAGCTGACAGTTGTTGTGATGAAACTTGATCATATCAATCAGTCTGGACGAACCCGATTCGGACTCCAGACAACCTATAATTTAAATCTTATTAATTTCATTATACAAACAACATATGCTATGGCTCAATGTTGGAATTTTACATCATGATTAAAACACATTCCATTCTCCAGAAGATAAAAATGTTTCATTTATAAATTCACCGACATCTTACTTTTAGATCAATGTTATTTTTAACTACCTCCATTTACATTTCATAGCTATTAAAAAAACAAAATAAAATAATTTTAAAACCAACAGTGAAGAGATTCTTGTATGTCAAATATTTATTATAATCATTGTTGTGTTGTTGCAGCTGGATCGGTTTAAAGAACCTCCTGCCTTTGGGCCAATGTGCGACCTTCTTTGGTCTGATCCTTTGGAGGACTTTGGCAATGAGAAGAACGCTGAACACTTCAGCCACAATAGTGTCCGTGGATGCTCTTACTTTTACAGGTAAAATGTGTTTTATCAGTTTTCTAAATTTATTTTCTAAATTTCATTTATATTTTTTTTTATGTTTTGTTAATAAAAGATTACGAGTATTAAGTATGATTATAAGTAATTCCACATATCTGTAAGTTTGTTTAGAAAAAGTTTGGTATTAAACATTATTTTCAGAGGTTCCAGAAAATGAAATTAAAAAAAAAAAAATTAACTTGAAGAGCCTTGGGTTCAGTCAGTAATTTCTAAAGAAGCACTTGTTTCTAGACCAATGGTTGTGCAAGATGATTTGGCCATGATGACCCTCTGCCACCTAGTTCTATCCATTTTATAGGAGCTGGGTGTGCACCAGAATAGGCTCAACTCCAGGATCATGGCTGATGTAACAGAATAAATCATTTCCCAAAGCCAAGCTCAAGCCCAGGCAAGGAGAATAAAAAGGCAATGCATTACTCACAGAGCTACTCCACTTTCATACATTATATAAAATGCATTACCTTTAGCTATTAATTGACTAAAATTTATTCATTGATGAAACTTATATTTATTTATTTTTTCTTAACCCTTTAGATGCACAAAGCCAATATGATGGTCCGAATGGAAAGACCATGCTCCTGGTGTGCAGAGCCAATATATTGGCTTCAGCTTTTTATCGTTTAGTTGAGCAAAACCAATACTCCGGCTCGTTACAGAGCTCTCTACTGGGTGCCAAATGAGCCATAGGTTGTTTCTGGAACCACTAGATAGCCAGAGATGTATTATTTAGTCGTGGGGTACACCTTGCTTCCACTTCTGGATCACCTTTTTCTAGTCTTTTGAACACTGTTTAACTCTAAAACTAATAGCAGTTGGTAGTGTTATGAAGTGCAAAAGTTGAAAATAAGTTTTAACATTTTTTTAAAGTTTAAAACTTTTTTTTTGATAGTATGAATTTCTTTTTTAAATGGAAGTATATGTAATAAAAGATATACAATGAAACGTTATCAGAAATCAGTTAATAATAAAAATATTAAAAAATTTCAATTGAAGTATAAGAAAATAATGACCCTATATGTACAAAAAAAATATTAGAATATATTAAAAAAATAATGTAAATGTCGCAGCATAATGTAAAAGTAGTGTAAGACGAATTATAAATTATAAAATAAAATAAAAAATTAACTATTTATTGAAATATGAGCTAACATGTATAAGTCAGTTATAAAAAAAGAGCATATTTTAATGTGATAAGTGCATGAAGACGGGAGCACTGCAGTGAATAAATCGCGTGTACATGGGGTTGGCTAGACCTTCAGTACCCCACGCACACGAGATCTGACCTTGATTCAAATTCCACGCAACTGAAGGGTTAAACAAATAGTATAAGGCATAGGCAAGGTTAGGCATTGGAGGCCACAGTAAGGTTCTAATGGAGGCCACAACTATTATTTATATTTTACTGGTGCTATTTTTATCTATCACTAGATACACACATCCGTATATATATATATATACAACTTAATTTCATTAATTTTCAAAATTTTGTAACAAATGATTAAATAATTAATATAGTGCTAGATTAATAAATATCTTGCAAAAAGTCCGAGGCTGCAGCTACATCACTGAGGCCAAATGCGGCCTAGAGGCCACAGGTTTACCACCTATGGCATAAGGGTTCTGAACCAAGGTTCTTATGGAGGCTACAAACAAATATGCAATGAATGGGGAATTACTTCTAGCCTGAAATTATCTTTCCATAACTAGATTTTTAAAGTATTAATCTTCTCCTTAGCCAGCTTCGCCTTTCATTATTATCAACATTAACATTTCAGTATCTTTTGGTTGTATTATGTGAGAAAAAAAAAAGTTCTGTTAGAATCTATTATTGTTCTTCTGGATAATATTTCTTTCTGAGGTTGTACTTTTTTCTGTTATCATGAATTCTTTAAAACCACACAGTGCATTAGTAAATAGTTCATATGCAACGACAAAGGATTAAAAACTGTTGACAAATTGACAAATTTCAATTACCTCTTGGGCACTAGGGATTGTAGGTGTATTATGGTCAGTATATACAGATAGGTCTGTCAAATTTCTCACACAAAATGAAACAAAACTTCACTATTATGTATTTTTACAATATCCAAAGCATTCTATCGTTTTATATTGTTGTGCTGTGGATTGTGGTTTGTGTAACATAAAATCAACACATTGGATATTATTTTATTATATATTAATATCACATTATTTATATAGTTAATAACAGTTTGCTAATGGTATTCATTTTGAAATTTATTATTTCAGTTATGCTGCTTGCTGTGATTTTCTTCAAAATAATAACCTTCTCTCGATTATTAGAGCACATGAAGCACAAGATGCCGGGTAAGTGAAATATCTATTTTGTTTTAAATCTTTTAAAAGTTATTATTGGATTTTAATCAAACTGATACTTTTAATATTATTTATACTTATTCATATTCATATAAATCTTAATTGTCCCAATTTATAATTTCTTATAATATCATCTTCTAAGAAGTTGATTTAAACTTTTGAATTTTCTAAACTAAAATTAGCTAAAAAGCCATAATAATTTAATTGATGTTGAAAAATAAAATATACCTAATTATTCTAAATTAAAACAAGTTCATTGATATATGTTTTAATAAAATAACAATTACATTATAAGTATTATTTCAAATATCTTTGTTATTCATGAATAACTTAAGGAACAATGCAGTCTTTATTCATTTTCTTTCATAAACGGATTGTATGAATCTTAATTACTTATTTTTAATAAATATTGTCTGGGGATGATTCTTTTTATTGTTTGAATAAACTCTCTAAAAAAAAAAAATTGAATTTATAATTATTTGCTATTATTACTTTGTTTTGTTCTGGTTCTTAACCATTATTGTTGTATGCATTTATATGTTCACTCCATTTATAATTTGGTAGTTTGATGAGAATTTATACTTTCAGGTATCGAATGTATAGAAAGAGTCAGACTACAGGTTTTCCCTCTCTCATAACCATCTTTTCAGCCCCAAATTATCTTGATGTATATAATAATAAGGTAAGATATCTCATCTGCTATTTTTTAATTTTTTTATTAATTCCTGATTTAAAACTTTTTTCTCTTTTGTGATATAAAAAATATAATAAAACATAAATTGTATTATTTTTACAATAACTCGAGTGTACTTAAGAAATTTATTTCAATTTTTTTCATTTAAATGTAATGAATAATTATGATGAATATTTGCACCAATGCCTAACATAAAAATTAAATAAATAAAAAAGTTTATACTGCATTGTGTGTCAGTGATATTGATATCTTAATGAGGAAGGCTCAGTGAGAATGCATTAGTTGCATTTTTGAGATTCTCTTCACAAGATTAGTGATGTGCAAAACATTGAAAGCAGAATCCAAGGCTTATGAAATACTGTGAATTATCAGTTGTTAGAAAATTCTATACCAAACTTGGAATGAGCAATCTGAATGGTTTAATCCAAGGATTTGGTATTACAAATGAGTTTAAAAAAATATGAGCTTGAAGTGCTATAGTTCATCAAAAGTGCTCAGTTGAATGAATTAGTGTATATTTATTTGCTTTTGAGTTTACACAATCAAGTACTCATCAAATGAAATATCTTTAACAATTTATTTTGGGTTTCAAAGCAATCCTCATTGCAAGGTGAGACCTACTAGCAGTTAAGGATTTTGATTAAAGGTGTACAGGTTAATTTTAACTGTTGGATTATAATTATTGGTTAATTTAAATTCTTTAAATTAATTTTATACTGTTTATTATATCATATTAATTATAGATGTTCTGGATATCTATAGTATATATGCCTATATACCTAGGGCTACGTTCCCTAGGTAGCCAACCCGGACCCTGTAGGGTAGAAGCAGGTCAGGAAGCTCAAAGGAGGCAGCCCTCCGACCGAACTCGGGGACAAGGAGTTAGGGCTGACTCCCTCTCCTTAAAACTCTACTATTACGAAACCTGCAACAAGAAAAGCCAGATGGATTATTCAGAAATGACTGAATGCCTGGATGGAACTTAAATAGGATAGTGGAATGTTTTAACTCCTTGCAGACCGGGAGCTCTGCATCAACTTTGTACATAACTGGACCATCATCATGTTGACTTAGCTGCTATCCAAGAAATAAGCCAGGTTCATTGTGGGAATCCGTAATTGGAAAGCAACAGCAACCAATAAAGAAGTCTGGTGGAGCAAGCTGCCATGGATTGTAGCACCATGGATAATGATGATGGATGTCTAATTCTTTCTAAAATGGTTCTAAAATTTCTGTTAGTGATGATTAGGATTACAATATCTGGTAGTGAAATTTTACTTAGTGTCTTCTAGAGATAGATGAAAAGTGGTCAAGATGCAATTTAAAGCCATTAGATGTTTTCAGTAATGCACTGAGCTGATGCATATGGTTTTAATCGATAGCTGGTAGAAAAGGTTCTATTCAAATTATTTATAATCTGTGTTTAATACTTGCTTTACTTATTTGATTCAGATATAAGGACAAAAATTAATATTGGTTGCTTCTTTTAACATTAAATAAGTCAGTTGTAGTTATAACATAAAACATTTCTGTTCTTGGGACTTGCTGATATAGTTTTTATGGCCTCCTATAATTATTTATCAGGTTCTCCGCTATTCTCATTCTTGTGGAGAAATTTTAATTTTAAAGTCTTGAGATCTCATTCATCTTGACTTGGAAATAATCTTGTTTTTTTTAATTTTTTATCTCAACTAATTATCTTAATAACTGAATTCTTATAACTGTTATTTATATTTATCAAAGTGGACAGAGGCAAAATTTACTCTTTATTAGTAGTCATGAGATAATCCTGCATGATTTTCAGCATTGCATTAGAAGAGATGAAAAATTCAGGACTTGGAACAGAAAAAAACTTATCTCATTTTGTTTTTAAAAAGTTTTGGTAAACTCTGAATTTTTTTGTCAATAGTTTTTCCATTTTTCTCGTTTTAACACGTTTTCCCTAGTAACTTTTCGTAAGTAAAGGTTTTACAGAACTATTATTTAAAAAAAAAAATTATTTAAAAGTTTTGTTGAATTCGTTAAAAATTCAATCTAAGTAATGATTTTTTTTCATAGCTACTGAAACAAACAACACATTACAATCATGTGTAATTCATTTAAGACAAATTACAACTCTAATCTAATCCCAATTGCTGTTAGAGTTTATAACTCTATATTTTATATTTGAATATTATTACTACATCATTCAAAATATTTAGAAATAGTATGATAAAAATGTATTTTATTTCAGTATGAATAATAATTGTTTTCACTCTTTCCTTAGGCCGCTGTTTTGAAGTATGAAAATAATGTGATGAATATTAGACAATTCAATTGCTCTCCTCACCCGTATTGGCTCCCAAATTTCATGGATGTCTTCACTTGGTCTCTTCCTTTCGTTGGAGAAAAAGGTAAGTTTACTGATGCGGAAAAATAAAAATACAAGTTTAATACAGCATAGAGATGTTACAGCAACTTTTTCGTCACAATCGGCTAACCGGAAGTGCCACTTTATGTAATCGATTTTACACATTTTTACAATTTTCTCAAAAAAAGCTTTTAACAATTTTGATTAAATTCATTATATCAGTGTTAAATTAAGTGGTTTTTAATATAATGTAGGTCTTCTTTTATTCTTTTAAAATACCTATTTATTCTAAGTTTGGTAAGTGAAAGTTGTGTGATGCAAGCACCACATTTTTATTACTATTATTTTTACATTCACTTACCTATATATGAAATATATAGTAAGGAAAAGTGTTGAGATCGTGACAATTTTCGAATCTTGAGTTTTCAATGGAAATACATATTTTGTGGTCTGCTGAGTCTAAATAACCAAGTCTTCCAAAATAGTCTGTGAACAGTTATCTCAAAAACAAAAAGTTATACAAAACTGAAATTGTGTATTTAAGGTTTTTATATGCCTGAGATGTTACAGCAACTTTTTCTTCAAAATTGGCAAATGTGAAGTGCCACTTTATGTCATTGATTTAACACATTTCTCCAATTTTTGCAAAAATCGATTCAAATGATTTTGATTAAAATCGTTATGCTAATGTATAATCGTTTGTTTTTTAATGTAAGATAAGTTATATCTTCATTGATGTTATCTTAAAATCTTTTTCAGAATTTCTTCCTCTGAAGTATCTTTAATTTAGTTTGTTCTAAAAAATTGACAATTTTAAACTGTAGATATTGAATAAAAATGGGTAAATATAAACTGTGAAAAGAATTGATCATGAACTAAAGGAGAACTAAGAGATGGTATCGAGGGATCGAGAATTGCCAAAAAGACAATTATCATCCAGAGATCGGGTTATTATAGAGATGGATATTCCTTTGTGAATTATGGGTTGAAATTCAAAAATTGATCTTGCACCTACTTGTGAAAATCACAAACTTTCAATTGCATTTTCCGAAAATATTATTTTTGCAATTAACACACTATGCATAGGTGCCACATATTTGTTTTTTTATTATAAAAAAAAATTAGGCAACAGAGATAAAGTTTTAAAATAAATGAAATTGATAAATTGTTTCCTTTTCCCGTTTAGTCTAGTTTTATACAAATTAAATTTAATAAACTAATTTAAAAGACTGTACTGAGATTTATATATTTGTTCTAAATAGTCAATTTTTTATTTTAATCTCATACCAGAAGATTAAAAACATTATTTATATAGTATTCTACATATTTTAGTAATTTACACTGTAGGTAATTTTTATTATATTCATTACTTTTCTACTTTTTTAACTAAAGCCTGCTTTAATTAATATATTTCCTTATTAAAGGAGACAATTATTTCAAAATCGTGGGCACTCCTTTCTTTTTTTTATTCTGTTACAGTAACTGAAATGTTAGTGAACGTATTGAACATTTGCTCTGATGATGAGCTAATGTCAGATGGAGACGATGCACTAGAAGAAGGTACGTGTTCTTCCATAATTTTCATACTTTTCTAAAGAACAGACAGACTAATTAATTCAATTAAATATTGATCATTTTTAATTCATAAGATTCTAAAGTGCCTCAATGAAAATCAGTTTTTTTCCTTTTTAAAAAAGAATATTTATAATTTAGTAAGTATATTTTTATATTACTTATTATTAATCTTCATCACTTTTATCAATTTTTCTTTATATTTTCAATTTGCTTTAGACACTAATTCATATGACTTTGTATCACCTTCAATTCAATGTGCTTTTGAATTTTTATTTTTTATTTTATTACTGATTTGTCACTCTTTCCAACTTTTATTCATTGAGCTCTGCTTTTTTTTTCCATTATGATATATTTTTAAGAAATCAAAATTTATAATTGTAATTTTATTTATCTTTAGTTTATATTTTGTTCAAAAAGAAATATCTGTTTAGTAATTTTTTTTTAAAACATAAAGATATTGAAATATTCATTGATGTTATTATCTCTGCCAACATATTGTAAACCGATATTTCTTTTTTCTAATTAATAAAATTAATACGGATTTTGATAATTAAAAAATGTTCATTCTTTTTCACTTTGTCTATCATACTCCTATTCCCTAATCTAAATTTCCAAAATCTTTCTCACTCTAACACTCTCTGACTTTGCCTGGCTCTCTCTATCTTTCTAACTTTGCGGCTGCCCATACTATGGACCCGGGGACCAATCACACAACAGATGGTAAGAATCGAGACATCATATATAAATGTTGTCCCTTAGAGATGTCCCTTATATCTCTTATTTATATATCCTGTAGTCAGAGAATGTTTGTTAGCCTTTCATAAAGAAACCTTTTCTTATCAATGAAAATTCCTTTTATACAGAACAAAATTTTTATCACATTTTTATTTTCATTATTTATAATTTGAAGTAGTTGGTTCCCAATCTGTCACTTTTTTCAAACCACAACCTTATATCAGTTTATGGTTCCTGACAATCCAATTTACCTAAGATGCCTGCGTAGCTTGAAAAAAGGTGTGTGTGATATACAGCGTGAGCGTGCGTTTTTTTTCTTTTCCTTTTATTCACTTAATTTGTTGGTTACATTATTTTATTGCTTTAAACTTTATTTTTATATTATTTGATTTTTTTTTCTTTTTTCTGATATTTGTTGTTTTGTGTGTGTTTTATTCATTTTTTATTTTACATTTCTTTTTTAATTTAATTTATAAATCCCTATTGTAAGCTAGGCCTTAGGTAGCAGTTAACGGTTTGTTATTTTTCCAGGCTTCATCTGTTTTCTTTTTTTCTATTTTATTTTATTTTTTATTTATTTATTTTATTTTATTTTGCTTGCACAATTAATTGTTTATTTTTATCATTAATATCATTTTTAAAGTAAATCATTTATAACATATGATGGCTATGTAGATTTTGACAAAATTAATAGAATTTGGAATTTACAAAATAATTTGAAAATTTCCTTTTTGTTTATTTTAAATACTTAAATTTTATCTATTTACTCTATGGACTTTTTATAAAAGACCACAATGCTGTTACAGCTCCTAAATCCAAATGAACTGGAATTTTATGAAAAGTTAATTTCTGTTTGTTGCTGAAAGCTTTGTGGTTAACATTTAACATCATGCAGCATTGTCGTCGAAGCCATTAAATCCCTTTTTATAGTCACTATCAGTAAATGACTTGCTCACTAGCCCCTTTGTTACTAACTACTACTACAACTACTACTATTACTAATATATATTTTCTACCTTTACTATTTACTATATATGTGTAATGCTGCCCCCCCTTTGAATTGAATTGAACAAAGCACAATATCTGACATGCACTTTTATCCCTTTTTTCTCTTTCTCTCTCTCTCTATTGCCATGCCTTGGCCATTCCGATCGGCTCCAGCCAAAGTTATATTAAAACCAAAAAGTGGTAAGTTTCATTCCACCTCTTTTAAGATTTTGCGTTTGTTTGATTTACCTTTTTTTTACTGTTTTTTTATTTTTTATAATTTAGTTTGTTATTTTCTAATATATTTTTTTAATGAGTGTTTTTATTTATTTTTGTTATTTTTCTTTCATTTTTGTTGTCGTTATTTTTTGATTTAATTTTATTATTAAATTGATTTTTAATTTCAGTTCGTTTAACATTGTTTTGTGCTTCGTTTCTTTTAACTTTTTTGTTCCTGGTCCTTTGGTATCTTGGTGAAAGAACCCAATAATCGAGTTTCAATATTTAAAATTATGTTTTTACACTTTGCAATCAATTTTGGTTGGATAAATTAAACTAATTTTAGGTAATAATGTTTTTTTTTTTAAGGAACATACTTTTTTTTAATTTATTTTATTTTATCTGTTACTTAGCTGATAGAGTAAAGAAACCTACATTTATTTTATTTTAAATTATATTAGTTTGTTTTTGTGACCTTATCAGCTTTTGGGAAATAGTCTCTAGTTAATTATTAATATCAATTATGTCACAATTATGATCAGTGGACTTGTAGCAAAACAAGCTGTTTACAAAAACATATTTCCATTGTATTTAAATTTCAAATTTTTGAATATTTTTATTATTTTTTTATCAGGTTTTTCTTAGATTGATTCCCACTTTTATTTTATTGTTTTATTATTTTTTGTTTACAATTCTTTATAAATTGAAAAAGAAAAAAGATGAAATAACTTCCTGGCTGGTTATCAAGGCATTGTAAAAATAAAGTTTTTAAAAATCCTAAAATTCACTGTTATTTAGACATTTGCTATTGCCAATAAAAGATCTAATAAAAAAAATTAAATTCAATTAAAATTCTTTATTTTTGTTGTATATTATTTTATTTTATTCCTTATTTTCTGTTTTCTCTTTTTTCGTGAGTTGTCCCCTTTTTTCAATTGGTTGTCTTATATATGATTTGCTGGCATGGAGTGTTGTGTTAAGTATGTTTTTATTTTCATTTTGTTTGTTTTGTTCTATAACTTTTTATTTCATTTATTTAATTGTATTGGGTTTTCAGTGTTAGCATTGTGTGTAGTTTTATTTTTTGTATTATTAAAATTATAATGGTAAGAAATGGCATAATTTTTTTTATTCTGCTATATAAATATTATAAATAGTCCACTTAATGTAGTTAGTATTAGTTAGTGCACTAATAATGTTTCAATATTTATGATTACACTATTTGATGATGAAACTATCAATTCTTATAAACAATCACTATTTATTTATTATATTTTTTCTTTTTTTACAATAATTTTATAGATAAATGTTACAAATTTTGTTTGTTTTTTTTTTTTTGTAAATATTATATCCTTTTACCATTGGACTTATTTTCAGGAGTAATATTTTGTATATTTTTATTTGAAATATTTTTAGTTTTTCACATTTTCTCATTAAAATAATTTTGGTCAAAAACTTACTGTGAGCATTGGGGGCAGTTGGCTGGATTTTAGGCAAAATGTTATCAGGCCCCTATTCTATTAAAATAAATATTTATGTTCGCCTAGAGCGTCAGGTTATGATATTATTTACGTATTATAGATCAATCGAATTATTTTAAGAATATGTATTTTACTAAAACATTTTGATTACGTATAATTTTTTAGTCAACTCGTATTTAAATTGTGTACTCTGTAAGGCCTGGCCCAGGAAATTCCCCCTCCCCCTCCTCTGCTCCCTCTGATAGTGCGCCTGACGCAGTATAACTCTAGCTTTAATGTTTGTTCCTTATCTACGGCACACCTGTCCTGGACACACTGCCTAGGCTAGATCAGCTCTGGGATAAATCATAGATCTCATGAGGATAATGAGCAACTATTTACGTAATGTGTAGATATTTCATTTTCAGGCAACTCTCAATAGCTAAAGGAAGTAAAATAGAATAAACAATGTATTTGAAAAGGTATTTGGTAAATAAGGTATTTGAAATAGTAGGGAATGATAAAGTTTATAGCTAAAACAATGTGATTAGTTTATTTTGTGTGCAGAATCCTAAAAATTGTCGAGATGCTATCACAAATAAATAATGAACACTAATAACATAAAAAAATTTGAATATTTTGTTATATAAAAACGAAACAAAAATCTGAATATAAGTTTTTATGAATTGTAGAATTATCAGTCAAAGGATATAAATTTCATTTAGTTGTAAAAAGCTCAGATGGTGTCACATTCTCTATCTCCTCTTCCTTTTTTCTCAATTCGAAATACCCAAGAAAATCTACAAAAATATTAAAATAAAAATTGCAACATATTATGCAAAAAATTGTGTCCGATTATATTGCCTGATTTGTCAAATTTTATATTTTTCTCTGAATTTTGTTCCTATTTCTTCATATATGTATTATTTTTTTTTCTTCTTTTATATTTAGATTTTTTACATCTCATATCTCTTGAATGCATGCATATATATTACTCCTGAATCTAAACCTTTGTTGTATGTTAAAACAGTTTAGTAAATGTTCACAAGATTGTGTTTAGGTTTAAGTTGCCAATGAAAGATTAAACCATTACTCTGCATGTTTCATTTTAGATTTTATATATTAATCAATTTTACATCAATTGAACATTATAGTATATAAGATTACATTTTAACTATAGAAAAAGTACTAATTTATTTTGTACATATAAAGTAGAAAAAATATATATGCTATTTCATTCTGTTTGTAATTAATAATTGTGAGAATTTTCATGTTGAAAATATTTATTGCAAAGTATATTTTCAAATTTTCTTTTGCACTTCTTCATCTTTTCATTTTCTATTGTAGCCTTGCTTCTTTAGCAACTTTCATTTAAAATCTTATTTTTTTAAATAATTAATTAAAATGTTTGTTAAAATTAACTTTCAGCTTATCTCGCATTTTTAATGATCAGCTTGTAATTTTCTTTAATATTCTCTTCTGTATTGATTCAGTGATAATCAAGATACCTTATTTACAATCTTAATACTGAAATACTTTTAAAAATATCTGAATTGTTTCTTTATTCACAGAAAATCACTTACTGTTCTCATCAAGAGTTAAATGAACATTAAATTAATCCTTGTTCCATTTAAGAATACCTCTTTAATTGAAAAAAGAAAAATTAGTTTTAAAAAAAAATAGTACTAAATCCTTTACAGATTTAAATTGTCATTTAATACTGATTAAAAAATATATAGTATATTAATTGTGAGTTTGTACACAATTTTGGATTTCTTTTTGCTGTTTTTATTTCTTTTCGTTTTCTGAGAATATTTTATTGATGCTCAGTGCACTCTACATTCTATAGCAGTAATGGGCAAAGTATGATTGATCTGCACACCATAATCTACTCAATATTAAGATTCTATCGAGCTTGTTACAAATTTTAAATCAGCACAGTATAGCTTATTTCAATCAACTTTTCAATTCAAATTTTAAACATCTGAAAATTTAAATGCCTGGGTTAGCCTAAAATTAAATTTCAAATGTTTTTTTAAAACTGTTACTTAAAAATTTGGAGGAGCAGGGAGCTGCGTGAGTAAGGCACATGCTCATATTCTCAAATACAAAGGAAAATTATTATTTATTCTGTTTCATCAGCTGTGGATTGACTTAGAGGTCGGGTGACCCTCCTAGGGCACACTCAACCCCAATAAAGTCCTTCAAATACTACTTCCTTACAAAGTACTGAATCCGAGCATTCATGGCTTGTAACGTTACAGGATTTTTTTTATTCAAGAAGTTAACATTTTGTTCTGAAAAAAACAAATTTATGTTGTAAAACAAAAATATAATAAAAATTATTCCTGATATTTCAAAGAAAGTTTTGAAAATTTTTATCAAATAATTTTATGTATTTTTTTCGATTATTGAATTCTACAATGTTTCTGAGAGAGCACACTTTTCAAAAAGTAATTGTTAACGCCCCAACGCTGCAATGGAATCTGTATCTTCCTAAATTGGAATGGATCAATACTTTTGAGTGTGTATACATATATATACAAAATATTTTTTGTTTTTGAAATAAAATAGAAGGAAAAATTAAAGTTATAATGTATGAGTAAAAATTTAAATTTTATAGAGGTCTTGGTATTCCTACTGCTCTTGAAGCTCACTGTGTTCTTTTCTTATCAAATGACACCCTCAAGTTGTATTATCAAATAACTAATCTTAATTATTCTTGTTTCTAGAGTCATGACCTAGAGAATATTGTTTATTGTATCTTCCTTGTGGAGGGAAAATCTTCGTTATAATTATTTTTAGTCTATTCTACATATTTCTCTTCTTTATTCCAATTTTAAATAGTCATGGTCAGTTGAACTTAGTTCTTTCATATATTTTATATTTGGCAGTGAATTCCATTGTTGTTGTTGATTATTGGATTTTAAATATCTGTGAAATTTATACTAACTTGTATTTTATAATACTTTTCAGTGTTTCATTTTTCCATTGTGTACCTCCTTTTAAATTATTTAAATGTTTTCATTTGTCTTCTAACTATTAAATATCGTCATTAATATTTCACATGTACGTGTTACCTTAAACTTTTTGTCTTTTCATGAATAAGTTAGTATCCTTTCAAGTTACTCAACATTCCTCATGCAGTACTATTATCTCACTGATTCTCTATTGAGCTTTAAAAATATCAGTACCTCATTTTACTTTATATTTTTTCTTCTATTTTGGAATCACTTATGGTTAATTTGTCACAGGATTTAATTGAATACTTATAATTTCAAGTGATACTAAAATCAATAAGTAGCTCTTAATCCCTTTGTCTTTAGTTATTCTAATATAGGAAAAAATATCTCAAGCACACTTCACAAAATATATATGAGATTAATAGAAAAGATGAAGAATGAATTAGGTATATATATATTTTTTAAAGGATAGGTTTATATTTATGTTCTCATTAAATTCAAAATCATAACAGATTTTGGAAGAATTATAAAAAGTACTGAATGAACCTGAAACTTGGTTCTTATTTTAAAGAATTATATAACTTGCTTGCTGAGTGGTACTAATATTTATGTTTCACTTTTTTTTATTTTGTTTGTTACTTAATATGATATTTCATGTATTGTGCACAATTTCAATAATTTGTTAAACATTTTGTGTTTGTTTTCTCTTTTTCATTTTGATTTACTCGGACTTGCTGGTGATCTACATCATATGCTCAATCGGAAATTGGATTTTTGCTCGGTGAGTTTGTAAAAGGCGTGGTTTATATGTTGTTAGATATAGACTAGATACCATCCCCATATCCTTAATTATTCAGGACTAACGTGTAAATACATAGAAAAGGTAATGTGAGTGCCATCTACTAAAGCTAGGCTGTTTTTGAGGATATTGGTAACTATTGAAGAAATTCCATACGCCTCTTGATGCTGGTTTAAAATAAATAAAAAATTTAAATTATATTTATGAGTTTGCCTTCCTTTACTTTGTTCCTGATCATTAACTTATGTGGAACTCAAAATATAATAATCAACCCAAACTATTAATCTCTAGTCTATAAATGTTTCTTAGCCTGAGAGAACTTGATAAATTGGATAACTGCATCTATATTTGCATAACTTACATACTAATGTATGAGAATTTCTCTGATATTGATTATATAATTTTATATATTTTATTGGGTGTAAAAAATAAATTAATTCAACATTCATTCCTATTTCATTTTATTATTGAATACTATCCAGTAATATTACTATAAATTAACATATAGCTCAAAAAGAACCATTTTTTTCCATTCCTTCGCCTTTTAGGCTATACGGGTTTTTTCCCGGGCCAGTGGCAGGGCAGAGGATTAATGCCAGAGTTAATCCGCTGCTTCTCCAGCATCGGGATGTGAACTTGTAATTATTATATCATGTTTTGCACAGCCGTTAGTCCGCTCGGCCACCCTGCCTTTATGTCTCAATAAGAGACATAAAGTAATTAGTATATAAATGGAAAATCCTTAACATATATCTTTGAGTCATAACACAGCTCAATCAACATTCCAGGATATTGCCCCTTCTTTAGCACATTTTATTACAATAAATCTTTATTATTGTTAATTACTAGTTTAATTATCTATTTATTAGTTATTAGTAATAATATTGATGTATTGTAGCAAAATATTGCAAAGACGGGGCAGAACTTTGAAGTGTTTATTAAACTATATAATTATGTTATTGATTAAAATTAAGATCAATAGTTACACATGGATAAGAAACATTATATTTAGCTCACACAAAACATATTAATTGTGAGAAAAAATTTAATTGTTGCATTATTTTTTGTTTTTGATGACTTCAAACTTAAAATCAAAATGAAACTTTTAATTGTAAGATTTTCAAAAGATATCAAGAAATTCCCTTTCTTCCATTAGGAAAAAAAAAACTTCTATTTTCATTTCAAGCTATAAATATTTTCCCCTGATTTCAGAGAAAATCTCATCATACAGTGAATTCTCACAGATTTATTTAAATTTTTATTAATTTTGGACATTTATATCAATAATTAAATTAATGAGTTAGCTTAGCTTATTAAATATAAGTTCTTTATAATTAGTTTTGGTTGATTGAATTTGTCTTATTGAGTTTGGTTCAATTTTTTTTATTTGAGTTAATAATAACTTATTACATAATAATTCGTAAAAGCTCCCAGGCAGATTTATATTATCATTCATATCAGTTGTTTCATGTTATGTTACACCTTCATATTTATCATGTAACTTTTTTCAGGTGATGATGATCAGTAACTTCCATATATTAGATATAAGTACAACTCTAAATAATTTTTAAAATGATATTTATATTTTGTAATATTTTTCTCCTACAGATCAATTTGCATAACCATAATTAATGGTTAATAAATTATTCGATAAAATTTATTTGAATTATTTTATACCTATTGCACTGTTGATGGAAATAATTTTTTTTCTAATTATAAGCATGTCATTACTATTATTTAATGACAATTATTGGCAAATTCAATCTCACCTTCTCCATAATTATTTATTTTTTATCCACTGGCAACACTGCAATAAAGCATCTATTGAGGCTTGAAAATTATTTTCTTAACTCTTTAATATTTAACTTTTGTATTGAGCAGATTGCTTGATAATTTTCTGCATGGAGCCTGCTCGCTTATGCTATACAATAATAACTAAAGAGCTGTTTCTATTTTTCTAATTTTATTATGTTGCAGTTTAATATTTAATATTTTTTACAAATATCTTGTTTTATTTTTATTATTTTGTTTAATTATAATTATAGTATATGTCATATTTAAATTTGAATTTTATTTGTATCTGATTGAGAAATTTTCATTACAATGTTTCTGTTTATTATAAACTAGTTTTATTTTAAATTATTCGAAGACTTGAATTTAGCAAATCTATAACTTTCTATAGCTGTTGTAAAGCTGAATACATGTCTCAATTAAGCACATAATAACATTAGATAATTTTCAATAAAGTCTATCCAGGTTTTGAAATCAAATATAATATTTTAGGAAACAAAATTGGAAATAATAAATAAACTGGTGCAATGCTCAATGTTCAGTCTAAATGCGGTTGAGAGAAAATGAACTATCAGTGTATAAAAACATGTAAAACTGTCTTCTCTTTAAGGTTGAATAATTATTTAAAATTTACATATGCAGTTATGAGATATTTTTGTAACTATTTAGTTATAGACCGTTGTTTTTTACACACAGATTAAAATTAACTAAACATATGAAATTGAAGTTATTCAAGATATATCTTTATTTGATATAGTATGGTTGGATTAATAAGAATTTCTATTGTCAATTTGTTTAGGTACAGCAGCTAATCTTCGCAAAGAAGTTATCAGAAACAAGATTCGAGCTATTGGAAAGATGGCACGAGTTTTCTCAGTGTTAAGGTATTTTTTTATTTGTTTGATGTCCATCATATCTGGTCCATTTAAGCATTATTTTCGATATTCCCTTCTTTCTTCTCCTGTAGAGTAGATTTTTTAATTTTATTGCTTTGGGATTTTCTGTTTGTCATTACTGGATTTAATTTCTTTCTTGTTTCTAGGGAGGAGAGCGAAAGTGTGCTCCAATTAAAGGGGCTGACTCCTACAGGTTCACTTCCTCTTGGAGCTTTGTCTGGTGGAAAGACATCTTTGAAAAATGGTAGTTAATAATAATTGTGTCTCAATAAAGTTAAGAAATCAAACAGTATATATTAATATTTTGTTTTCTTTATGAATGACGTTTATTAACAGTTCAAAATACTGCATATAATTTAAATTAGGAAGAATCAATTAATTATGTCTGCATTAAAGATGATTTTTGTTAAGTATTTATTAAAATGTCATTAATTGGTGAAAGAGGGTAGAGGTTGTCATTCTAAAACACTCATTATTTCTCAATTTTTATATTTTAACACCATTGTTTCAAACCCATATTGCTTATCTTCACCAGTCATGTTTATAAACATGATACGATACCTAGATACATGTAAGTGTGATAGCACAGACTAAATTTATTTATATTAACATATTTTTTCTCATCTTTCTTTTTTCCAAATTTAAAATTTTCTATTACATTTCATATCATAACAAAAAAAGTCATGTTGATGTTACATATCTCTTGATATGTTAATCATTTTTCTATTCCCTCTTATACAAGGGCATACATAGCTTTCATATTGGGAGGGAGGGGGGCTAGACCGAATAAAGGAAAATCTCAGGTAGATAAATTATTTCCAACTCTATAGTAATACACTAAGTAGTTTGTTGTCATTAAAATTTATAAATATTTTTATCTGAAAGACAATATATACGTAGAACAATTTAAAATTATTTTTCTTTGATATTTGGCAAACTTTTTTGTACTATATTGTTCTATTTTCTATCAAATTATTTAGGGGTACAACGGCCTCCCTTCTCCCCTCTCCTCTGTCCTCCCCTCTGTACACCCATGTTCTTATATTTATATATATATTTACTGTATACTTAATTTATCTTGTTTTTTTTTTGTCAAATTTAAATTTTCAAAACTTGTGAAGTCCTGTCTCTTCTAAAAACTCTTATGTTATTACAGTAACGGCAGTCTTATATCCGTGAGTGAGGCGGCTCTCTCCTATTCACAAAGAAGTTGTTATAACATTGTCTGGAACATGTCCTCCTCTTCATGGCAGATTTAACCAATCTAAGTTTATTTGGTATTTGTTGGTTACATGGATTTTGCTACTTACCCCATAACATTGGAATAGGAATTTCAGTACTTGAAAGAAAACAACTTTCTTCTTTGCCTAACCGGTGAGCTTTAGTTGCTGCTCTATCGGCCAAATCGTTACCCTTTATGCCAAAGGATGAAGGTTGAGGAAAAACCCCAGATCTTGTAGCAAATCAGTTATCTGTAACCTCAATGTTGTATTTTTTCTATTAAATATTTTTCAGAGTTTGGTTTTATATTAAACAGTAAAATCTCAATAACATGAGCCTCTATTGAGATCACTAGTGGTTTTACTATACGTCGTTGAGCCTAGATTGATAGAGGAAACAGAACACGAAGAACTAAGATAGTATGCTATTAGTTAGGACTACTTTTAGGCATACCCGCCAACTTGTTGAGTTGGTGATTTGTGTTAAAGCCAATTTATGTATTCACGACAAACTTCTGTCCATCATAGGACACAATTCCTTTAAATTCTTCTTTTTTGCTGGAAAGCTGTATAATATTCTCTAATTTCGGCAATAAAAACTTCCAGGTATACAAACAATTGGTTTGTTTGTTGATATATACGTTAAGTTGATGTTTCGGGAAAATTATTCCCATCTTCAAAACTTAAAATCCCATACTTTCATAGCGATTTATGGCTAAATTCTGATGTGCTTCTTTGTCTTGTTTGTTATAAATATAATACAAATATATTATCTGGAGCATCAACATTCCTAGGACTAATAATTGGGTGTCTGCTATGGGGGATACTATTGACCTTTTCAATAGTCCAACTTGGACTAAGGGCATCCAATCTGCACTGCACTGAACCTCTGCGCTAGGAGACTGAGATCATCCGCAAAGTCAAGGTTCTCAAGTCTCTCCCTTAGTCCTCACTGAATACTATTTCTTCCTCCAAGCATTGCTCTCATAATACAATCAAGAACAATGATGAGTAAAGTTTTTTTAACTTTTATAAATCTAAATGACATATGATTAGTAACCCAATGCAACCATGGCATCCAGTAAGCTTTTGATAAGAATTAAAATTTATCTCAAATACAGTATATTTTCGGACTTAAATAGCAGAGCATGAAGTCCGTGTTAAAATCTTTAAAACATGATTTTTGATCTGTCAATTTACCAATGCTGTAGTTTTGAAACCTCCTCCTTTTTTCAATCCCTTTCTTTTTTTTATGTATATTATATTTTTTTATAATATATATATTATATAATAACAATAGAAAGCTTAGGAAACCCAAAGGTTTAATACAAATATAACCTACTATCGTTCATGGTCTCTGACCCTCATCAAAACCCAAATCTGCAGCATCATTCTTAATACAAATTGACAAGAATCTATTGATTTTTCATATCTGTATTTGTTACGATGGTGAAGATCTGCAATGTGGGCAGCATATAAAACATACTTAATATTGTTACGAATTATTATGATTATAATTTTTTATTTTATTATTAGATTAATATTTACTGCCATTCATTTCATGCACTAATGAAATTTTCTATTTTATAGCATTACAAGGCTTTTCACCGAATCACAAAATCACATCATTTGCGGAGGCTAAGGGCCTGGATGCTATAAACGAGCGGATGCCGCCTAGGAAAGATGCTCCACCCTCTCCAGCATCTGAAGAGAAACCTCCTCCACAACAGCCTCAGCAGCCGACCCAGCAACAATCACAACAGGACAACTCATGAGCTAACATTAGATCTGTGAGTGCTAATAATTAATGATCTAATTTTAATATTCATTCCAATTTTGTAATCGAGTTTATTTCCAATAAGCTTTAAACATATACAGTCGAATCTCTATGTACCCAACTTCCATATGTCAAAACTGTATGTATTAAATTTTTATTAGAAAACAATTTTTTTTTATCAAAAAAAAAGTCATGGTTAAAAAAATATGAAATGTAATATCCATCAAAAAGAGTTGTTAATTTTGATACACCTTCATGTTCATCACAAGCTCCAAAACCCATTATGGGTTGTTCTCTCTACCATGTTCATCCATCTTAGTTGTTCACTTCCATCTTAGCTGTGCGTTTCCATCTTAATTGTCTACTTCTCCTCCTTCCAATCACATCCCCGAATAGAAATATTTTTTGATAAAAGTAGTCTTTCATCCTAGCCACAGGATCAGCCCATCTCATAGCCTATGAGATGCTGCTCCACATAATATGCATTAGTCTGGATTGATCACCAACTTCTACAGCTCCAAACATTCTTATTATTAATTTTCTAATGAAGAGCTATGAACTGTAATCATCTGCTGATCTTGACCGTGGTCAAGTCTCAGTTTTTCTATGCCAAAAATAAGTGTTTACTTAAATGCGGTCTCAGTAGTTTACATTCATATGAAATGATAATAATTAAATAAAAAAAATTTTTGCAAAGCAATGAATATTCCAGGAGGATGTTGTTTAAGAAGGAATTAAAAGAAAATTTCTGATGTGAGGAGTGGGATTGAAAAATAAGAATATGATATAAAAATATGAAATTTAGCCAAGTACAATATCAACAATTTACAAAAACTGTGATCTGGTTATTAAATAGTCAAAAGTTTTAGAAAAGATTAGAAATTCAAATCCATAAGAATTGATAAAGCACTATTGAAATATGATTCCCTAAAAAATTGCTTCTAATCATAGATAGGCATAATTATATTCAAGGATTACAATCACAGTAATTTTGATTACATGATTGTACAATTACGATTGTAATCAGGTAATCATATCACATTTTCCTATATTAATAGTGCTATTGTATTAAGTATAAAATTAGTGTGGTCGTTAAGTTTTATTTTCATTTGTAATCATGTCATCATTGATCCCGATTTTATCCAACTCTGCCTCTAATATTTCTTTAACCTTAATAACATAATTGACAATTATTTGGTAAGGATAAAAAATATCAATGTTTCTATTTATCACATTTTTTTTCCAAGGAACTTTTATGTTTGATATTTAGAGTTTTGACTGTATTTATTTTCAATCCTTCACGAGTACTGATAGAATTTAATAATGTTTACAGACAGAGCGACAGCTGTGAGAGAGAAGGCGCGTGGGTTTGTGGGATGCTCCTCGGGGTCCTCAGCGGGTCTGAGCTAGGCCCCGCCATCTAGATCTGACCCCCGCGCGCCATCAACAACATTCGCAGCTCTCTAGTCAACCCGCCAACAATGGAAGCTTTAATTAAAGCAATAGGTCTATCCTGTCTATACTGTCTTACTCTCTACTACATCTACAAACATGGTTTCTTCTTTATCATGCACCCTGAGAACATATAAAATATAATAATATCGCTCGAATATTAGATAACATTTGTTTACAATTTTTATTTTTGTATATATTCAATTGTTAACACCATTGTATATATATTTATGTCAAAAGACACGTTGACTAGTTATATTAGTTTTTTCTCCTGTGAAAAAAAAAAAGAAAAAATCTTTATTACGAGGTTTTTGTAAATATCGTTTTGTAGTTAGCTCATCTGATTGTTTAATTTACATTTCTTTTAAATTTAAATTACAGTGGGGATGATATCTCTCTTGCCTTCAATATCCCTCATCCAGTCTTCAATAAATTTAATATATTGATTTAAACCTTTCTACAAGCAAATATATATACTATTGTATTTATAACTATATTGTAATCTAAGGTTTTTTTCATAAAAGAAAAACTTAACAAAAAAAAAACAAAAAAAACTAAAAAGAGCCTTTTTAAATCCTTTTTAGATCTATAATCGAGTGTTTGTTAACTTGCAAAGCAAATCTGTGTTACTATACAAACCTAATGCTGTGCTGGTATTTTTAATTATTTGTTTGTGTATTAAGGGGAAATTTCAATGTTTACAACTAAGTCGATGGTGCGATCAAGATTGGTATAGGTGATTTTTGAACTGAACCACCTCATTACTTGGTTATTGAACCACATATGTATATTATTAAATATGTGTGTGAGTGCGTGTATGTACATAAACAAACACATGAATATCTGTTAAACCCTCCTCTTCCCCATTTCTCCTTGTATTTTTATATCAAAGTTTAATTATTTAACGACTTCTCGTTTAATAAACAGATTTCTATTGAAAAAAAAATTAAATTTAATAAAAAAAATTATAAAATTTTTATACGTCCACGAAACATTCGCTTTATTTCTGCCGCACTTCTTTTCAATTGTCTTGTAATATAAACTACTACTTTGAATACAGTGGTCAATAGAGATGCAAGTGTCGCTAATTAACAATATTAACTTAATATCTAATTAAAGATTTCATAAGCTGGAATGATAAGTGGAAACTTGATTTAGCACAAAAGCATTTTATAACGTGTAACTTGTTTTATAAAATAATGGAATGATACACAACTATTTATATATATTATAGTGGCTCCTTACTTGCACTCTTGTGTGCTCTTATCTCATTAACAACAATTCGTCTTTGGGACTTCAAACTCATAGCGGATATTTGTCTCGAATAATTGCCTTTTATCTCTACTTAATTCCAACTTAATCTATCTCTTTATATAATTAAATATACATTATTGTATTCTAAAAACTAGAAACCCAAACTATAAATAAGGTTTTAAGTAGGTGCAAAATTATACACTTATGAAGATATTTCATCCTTTAGAAATAACTAACTATAATAATTGATAATGTTTTTTTAAATAAGATTGCTTTAGGTCCCCTTTCTGGCTCCATTTATATTAGGCTGGCTTCTCATTTATTTTATCATATGTATTTAATGTTTTTAAAAACTGGCCACATTAAAAAAAAAAAAAAAAAAAATGGTCTCTGTTACAGCTGATATGCCAATAAAATCAGAATAAATCATTGAACATATTTTTACCCATCCTTGACTTTATTTTATGATGTTGTATAATTTGGAATTAATTGAGAGGAGATGGGTCTCAAAGAGCGTACCTTAATAAGAGCATGGTCCATGATTTTTATTTCATGTACTGTCAATTCATCTTTTTTAGAAGGGACTCCATCGCCTCAAACTAAGGAAAGAATTGTCATTATCTTTCTATACAGTTAATTAGGGCTTCTTATTCCATTTGTAAATAATTTTTTAATAAAAATATCTCTTTATAATGGGACGTTTTAAAATAAAACATAAAGGTCAAAATCGCGTCCTTATTTTCATATGTACATGAACATATGACTTCTCTGGCTGCATTATTTTGTGTGAAACATTAAATAATGTATTGCGATTTATAAAATTATGTAGGATGAATCTTTTTAAATAATAATTTTCAAGTTAAACTTTTAAGGATGTTCGAATGCCTTTTTTGAAAAAAAGAAAATGCTATTGAGTTTTGTAGGAATTTTTTGCGTGTTTTTAAAATTTATTAATTGTGTAATTATATAAATACAATTAATTATTATCAATTATTATAATGATCTTTTCTTTTTTTTAATTCAGATAAATTACTTTATATATATATATATATATTTACATAAAATACATTGAAATGTGATGTAAAGGCTGCAGTGGTTGATAGCTGCCATGCTGTTGCGCCTCTCGTGCCATAAATGAAATTGATTATATGAATTGGAGTTGTCTTGTCCTGTCATGCATGCATTTGCATCCAAATGCCTTCTCGCTTCAACCACTTACTTTCCTTGTGTAATCATATTTTTGTATGTTTACATGAAAACGGCGCAATTTTACCAGGCTGGTAACTGTAATGATAATGTACAAATTGCATCATTTGAACTGATGCTTATTTAAATCTTGTTAGTTGAATTATACTGTTTCTCTTATTTGTTAAACATTTTAATTTAAATATTTTATTGTCAAATGAATTTGTTATATGAAAATAGTCAATTAAACTATTGACTTATAATTTATATGTATTTTACATTTGTTATTCAATTTAATTAAATGATTCTTTTTGTTAATTTAAATGTATATATTAAATATGGTTTAAGGTTAATTCTATGAGAATGATTTTTTAAAATATTTTCTCTTTATCTGAATAAATATAAATAATATATATATTACTAGTTGAACACACTTATGAAATGTATTCATGTAAATACTTTTAAAATGTAAATATTTTGTTAAAGAACATTAAGACACTTAATACTCTGAGATGAAATAGGTTATCGATAAAGGGATTACTTTCATACAGTTGAAAAAGAACTCCATTGGTGGATTGGTTGTAAATGTAACAGTAACACACCTTCTCTAACAAGTTAGAATCTCTTGTCCTCTCTAAGAACTAGCTAACACTTCACTTTTCATTAGTAAACTTTTTACAATTTTTCAGCTTGGCAGTATCTGAAGGCTAATTTCATATAAAAATGATATTAAATTTTAAATACTGTGCATATAAATACTTGTTGTATAAGTGAATACACTCTCAAGAAAACTTAATTCTCATGTGAAATGTAAAAGGAACGTAATTTATATACAAATCAATTGAACACAATTATTTATCATAAGTATCTTGTGTACATATTTCAGTGCCATTTTTATCTAAATCTCCTCATCTTCTTTTCATATTATTACAATTTATAATAATACAAAGTATATCTCAAAACTGAATGAAAGTTATGTTAACTCACTAATTCTCGCTGAGTTGCATATTTGTTGATACAATAAAAGATTATTAAAATAACTACCTATTATTTTCTTTTTATTTGATAAGTACCATATTAGTAATAAATTATTTAATATTACATGGGTGTCAAGAAAAGTCATTGAAGAAAAAAAAAGTTACGAAATTTACAATTATTATAATATAATCTGGTTTGGATTTTTTTTTTTTTTTTTTTTGTCATTGAAATTTTGGTGCTATTGACTTCAAGGACAATATTTGGACTAAACTTATGTTATCATATGAGTTTATCATTTGAATCACGATAATTAATTATTCTTAAAAAGATTATAGATTTAATTAAATCAGTGTTGGGTAATCATCAAATAAAAAAAATTAATTTTAAAAGCTTGGTGGCAACTCATTAATTTTTTTTATAGATGTTCAGTATCTTTAGTGGCTATTTTTAGCTGATAAATCGGCCTGTTTTGCATTTGCGTCCTGAGGAGTGCATTGAAGAATATGAAATAAACAATACTTTCTGTACATTTGGGACTTAATTTAAAAAATGTGTATAGGTTTTCGATTCTTTCATTTCACTATTTTAAGTTTTTTTTATGACTGCCATCCCAGACCATCTCTTCTTAAATATTATGCAACGGTCAACCATTTAATACTCAATAAAAACCTATTAAATTTTCACCACCTATCGTAATTCAATAAAAGTATGTTTTGTAAAAATTTTGAATTTTTCAAGTGTGTCCCTTATGAGGTATTTCAGATTTAAAATACCTGATTTTAGAAAAACCACAATATTTGAAGATCAATTACAAAAAAAAAATGTAATTCTCAGACTAACAAAGATTTATATTTTGAAAACGTTAACATTTATCTATCGATTTATTTTTATTTGTTTAAAATTAAGTTACATTTAAATTGCGCTGGACGGAAAGTGTTGTACATCTCATATTGTTCAACAATAGTTTAAAGTAAACTATTCTTTAATAGTACTCTAAAGTAAACATATGTGAAATGTAAAATAGGCTGATACACCAATAGCTGCACAAAAAAAAAGTTGATATTGAATGCCTGTTTTAAACTCTGAACACAGAACAAATATTGGTAAAAAATAAATAAATTTTTATAATTTTTAGCAACTTTTTCGAATTATTTTTTTCATTTAATATGGATTGACCCGCCTGTTTTATTCAGCTCATGTGGAAGGATGCAAGCAAACCACCAATGAATCCTGAGATGTTTATTGGCAGAAATTGGGTGAATAACAGATGTGTTGCATACCTTTCTATATTCTGTCATCTCCCAAGAGAAAGGGTCCTTTATTGAATTTCATCTTTTTTGTCTGTATAATCAATCAAGGCTTACTTAGCAAGACCATTTTAAATCTAATCTTTAATTGTAATTATTTTAAAAATCATTATCATATCAAAGACAAATAAGAATTTAAAAACAATAAAGCGCAATATCTCTGAAATCAATGTTCATTCAAATTTAATTATCATTTATACCACCAATTTACAAGATTCTTATCAAGAAGTACTGATTTATTCCCAAACTTTTAGCTTGACAAATTTGTTTTAAAACAACAAAAAAATTATTTAATAGACCATTATATACTTAAGAAATATGGAAAATAAGATATATTAAAAGACATACATAGACAGAAAATGAAATTTTATTCTGGGACAAAGTCCTCTTATAATAACAATAATGAACAAATCTAAAAAAAAAAAAAATATATATATATATATATATATATATATATATATATATATATCTGGTCAAAACTAAGTTGATAAAGATTCTAACAGTATATACAGTAATTTAAATAATAGTATGTAAACAAACAAAAAAATTACATATATGCAAAACCTTGAGAAAAGTACCATAAAATCCTCTCAAGAATACTTATAGTTATAATGGAAAAAATGATATATATATATATGATAATGATTTTATTGATATATATATATGATTAATAATGATTTTGAGTTTATTCAACTCCATCATCTACTTTCTATTATATATATGAAAACGTGTTTTCCTTGAAAGACCTTTATCTAAAAAATCCCAAATTCGATTTGCTCCAAATTTGAAAAAAAGTTAGGGATTGATAATTTAATTTAATCATAAATGAAAAATTATTGACCTTGAGATATAGTGTGGAACCAGTGAAAATTGTGAGGAAGCTATACTGGCCTCATTTGGCAGATGTTTTTTTTCTTTTTTCCAGGTTATGCTGTTTCTATATATATATATATATATATATATATATATATATATATATTCCATAACCTGGAAAAAAGAAAAAAAACATCTGCCAAATGAGGCCAGTATAGCTTCCTCACAATTTTCACTGGTTCCACACTATATCTCAAGGTCAATAATTTTTCATTTATGATTAAATTAAATTATCAATCCCTAACTTTTTTTCAAATTTGGAGCAAATCGAATTTGGGATTTTTTAGATAAAGGTCTTTCAAGGAAAACACGTTTTCATATATATAATAGAAAGTAGATGATGGAGTTGAATAAACTCAAAATCATTATTTTACCAAAACCCACCTTTCTTTCAACTTTTTGCCAAATTGACCACCCGTTTATGAAATATTGCCATATCTAAGAAAATACATTTACGTTTGCGCAAGCGGAAGTACTGTATGTAATTCAATAAAATCGATACAGCAGCATCATTTTACCAAAACTGACCTTTCTTTCAACTGTGAGCAAAATCGAACAAGCCGTTCATGAAATATTGGTGTATCCAAGAAAATAATTTGTGCAAGCGAAAGTACTATTACTATATTATGAATACCACATATGGAATTTATTGATATGGGGCCATCAAGACACCATCCCGTTCAATCCCTGAAGATTTCATGAAAATCGGATAAATGGTAGTAGGTGATATGTCCGTCACATCGATTTGACTACAGACAGATACCAAACCAACTTTGATCCTTGATGTCTGTAACGTAAAACGCGAGAGGAAATTTTTGATTCTGAGCACAAACATTTATTTAACCTCCCGCACGAATACAAAGTCTTCGGTAGTGAGAAAGCAAAAAGCGTCTAGTATCAGTCTTGGCAGCTTGTCTTTCTGGATATTAGCAAACACTACTAACAACAATGTGAGGGGAAAGGATAAATAGATTTGGGAGTCATTGGTAAATAGGTGGTGTGCGCAGTGGTGGATTGAATTAGGAAGGTCATTGATATAATAATTAAAAAGGAGAGGGCTAATGCTTGAACCCTGGGCTACTTCGGAAGAAAGATAAGGGTTGATACGGAATGCTAACAGCTTGATTCCGGTCAAAAAGGAAAGATTGGATCCACAAAATAGAACTATTGGTGAAGGATAGAAATTTTAATTTAGTGAAAATAGAATGGTCAAAGGAATTGAATGCTTTTGAGAACTCCGGGAGTACTAATACAGTAAGTTTTTTCTTTTTTGTCCATTGCAGTATGTATGTCATTTGTGATTGAGCAGATTGAGTAGAGAAGCCCGGGTGGAAACCAGATTGGAGAGGATCTATAAGTTTGAACTCTTCGAGGAATATTATTTCTGAGGGTTTTAACAGGTTATAGAGGATAGAAATTTGATGATAATCTTTAGAAGAGGGGAGGTTGAAGTTTTTGTTACTAGGACACGCTAAGGCTTTTTTTCCAAGAGGTAGGAAAAATAGAATTTTGGTGAGAAAAGTTATAAACGAATAGAAAGACTAGGGAGATTTCAAGGAGGCATAATTTTACAATTTGATGGGTATTCCGTCAAAAAAAGTATTATATCCTTCATATTGAAAAGAGGAGCAGGAATGCACATAGAATTTCCGGCCCGTACCACACTAGACTAAGCCATTTCAACGGGTTCCATAGGTACAAATTTCAAGGCTGAACAGGAGGCTATCGAGTATAGAGGGCAGTAGAATAATGAGTCGATTAAAAAGGAATAAAAACTGCAATATTTTATTTTTATCAGATGTGGCATCGGTACTTTGGTCCCTCAAGTCCAAATGGAAATCTAAGACTCCAGATCCTAGCAGAAGAAATAGAAAAACTGTAACTCCAGTACAAAAGAGATGTATTCCAATGGATACCAGGGCACTGTGGACTAAATGGAAATGAATAGCTGACCAACTGGCAAAAGAGCTCTAGTATCTCCTTAAAATAACTGCATTCAAACTCTTCAGGAGGCCATTTCTATAAGTAGAGCTGCTATAAGACAAAGGTGGCATGATGCCCATCTACATTAAAATCCTGAAGACTATCATTATAGGTTGAGCAGGAAAGAGCAATTTTTATTCTTTACAGTCAGAACAGGATGAGGGCACACCTCTATGAGAAATTTAACATTGGAGAAAACCCTCTTAGAAGCTGTAGAATAGTCTACTAGAATACACAACATATCCTGAGCTGGAGGACATCAGAAAGCAAATTAGCCAAAACCCACTGACTTGACAATGAAGTTCTACGGTGGTCTGAGGATCTCAGAAAAACCGTCGAGTTTATACTCTAAATCCCAGACCTCACCATTTGAGAGAAGTTCAAAGAAGAACTAGTGGACATAATCCAGATTTAATATGAGATATGTTCTTGTGGAAAATATCAATGAAGCATAGTTAAAAAAAAAAAAACGTCTAGTTTCTTGGAATCAAGCTTGCCGAAATTAGAAAAATAAATCCATGAAAATTTTACTTATGTTTATTTATATCTGGCTTTAAATTATTTTTATTTATTTCAAATTTCCTTGTTTATATCAGCTTAAAATAGAGATGTTTTCCTAAAGATATGGGAAGAATCCTTGAAACATTTAAAATGTTTTAAATGTACTGAATAAACAACTTGTAATTAAATTAAAACAAATCTTGCTAGATTGAATAAATTATTATATAAATATTTGTTTGCTGTATTTCACCTATTTATAGGTTTTAAGATTTTTATTGTACAAAAATCTAGTATTTAACCTAAGTGAACTGGAATAGAAAACCTTAGTGTACATGCAGGCGATAATTCCAAACTGGAGACCTATAGACCAAGTGAGAGATGAAAAGTTGGATAGACAAAAAAAAAATTTAAAATATCACTAAGAAAACAATAATTTTTTTTTTTTAAGGGGAGTTCTGTTCAATTCAAAATTTAAAAACAATAATTGAAATGATTTCTAAGTTAAATTCAGTAAGCAAAAGTGGAAAGAATATAAAAATAAAATTTTCTTAATATTCAATTTAATAGTTATACTTTAATGGAACCAAATCATTAAATGGCCAGTGTGGATACAAAAATAAATAAAGGAATAAAATGTAGTTAAGTTCAAAGAAAATCCAATATCCATTTTTTTTCTCTGTTGTGATTTTAGGTTTAAAAAAAAAATTGTAATGTAATAAACAGTTGATTATTATTTATTGCTAGCCAAACTATAGTTCAATTCAAGTCCTATATTCATAATATTTCAATAGTATAAACATCTATATTTATAATATTTAAGAAGTATATAAAGAGACATAGATTAATGTAAATAATCAGTATAGTTAATTAGGAAGTTATTATCATAGGGAATTATAAATAAATTAGGAGAAAATATGACTAATTAAGTACTGTATGCAGAATCTAGCAAATATGGAATAAACTATAAATGGTTCATATTCATGATAAGTATTCGCACTCTTACATTAATTTCCTTTTTTACTATATTCAATTTATTTACACTGCTAAATTATCACTTTAGATGATAAATGTTTGAAAAAGCAGTATTTTTAATTATAAATCAAAAGTTTATTTTTCTAGTTATGTTCATTTTAAGGTTATGAAAAGAAAAAAATAAATTAAAGCTTTGCAATAATTTATTTTAGTAATATTTTCTGTAAACACTGGTACTTTTGGATGAGAGAATTTCACATAACATAACTTTTTAACAGAAACTGAGTTGAATCTACACTTATTCTATAGCAAAATATTAACCCAATTAATATGGACAAAAAATTGCGAATAATTGAATAGTTATTACTCCTTATTGAACGATAACATGACTTACTGTTGAAAAATTCAATACTTAAAATTCCTGCTTTTCTATGAAAAATCATATCATGTTTATGTAAATGTTTTTGTAGCTCCTTTGATCTACTATTAATACCTCTTTAAATACTTTCCTTTACTTACGTGACACCCTATCAAGTGAGACTTCACTGCTTTTATATATCATATAAGGTGGTTAAATAAGTAGATTTTATGTATTACATATGTAGGTAAATGAAAGTAAAAATGAGTGAAATTACTATTTTAAGTAAGTTTATTTATAAAATATAAAAATATACAATCAAAACTTCATTTATATAGCTTTAAATATCATGAAATAAACTAGTACAATCCAAAAAAAAAATACTACGATTTACTTTCTAAAAAGGAATATATCACTTCACAAACTTCATCGTAATGGGGATTCGTTGCAGCTCTTACATTCTCCAGATATGAAGCAAGTTTTGGTCTTCCTTCTCTTGGGTCATAACCGGCCATTTCTGTAACGAAATAATACCTGACTACAATTTAATAAAAAAAAATTTGATTAAATTATGTTTCATTTGATTTTGTTCCTATAGTTTTCTGGTTCCATCCATTTATACAAGACTTTTATTGATAAAAGCAGAGGTGCCCGACCCAAGGTATAGGTTCCACAATTCCATGTTTTCATTATTTAGATATAAGGCAAGTTTCTAATTCCATTGCTGAGCACAGCACTGAGTTTAGGAACTTGCCCTGTACAGTTAAATTTGACAAAAAGTGGAAAAATATCAGTAAAAATAAATAAGTATATATATATATATATTTTTTACTGATCACCCCAACCATTCTTCTCTTCAATTATTCACTACAGTCAACCATTAATCCACAGTTTTGAAAAAATATCATTTAAAAGAACACTTCTATTAAACAGAAATAATGAACGTAAAAGTGACAGGGTATATTGGGTGTGTGTATATTTATTAGGCATCCCTGAGTAAAAGAGTTAAAAGATAAGAGACTAAAAAAAAAATAAAAATAGGAGAAATAAATCAAAATGCGTAAGTAGCTGATGGTTTTCTACTTTTCGCAGTAGATCTTAAAATAAAACAAAACTATTCAAAATAAAATAAAATATTACTTACGAGGTTGCTCCAGTTCCATAGCAGCCATAAGATCTGCTATTGATAATTCATTTCCAAATAGAAATTTCTTGTCACTAGAGAGATAAATTTTTTCGAATGTATTGCAACTGTTCACTGTTTCTTTTAGGCTCCTTTCTAATAAATTACTGGCTGGAGGTTTTCCTGTCATCATGGGGAATAGTTTCTAAAAATTTTAAATAATTGAGAAATAATAACTTTGCCAATATGTATTTACAATATACAATAATAATGTCTTGGTGAGTCCACAGTTTTAATGCTACAATTTCAGACTTAACGTAATCCACTAAGCCTTTGTCTCATCAGGGATGTAGTACCAGTTAGTTTAGTACCAATTAATTCTTTAGTGGTGGTTCTTTTTTTAACCAATTCAACAATCTAACAGATCCATTCTATCATGTTAGGTATTCTTCAAACACAATTCTGCATTATTTAACCACTTAAATTATTCAGTTGACCCATCCTTCTTCTATTCAAATGTTCTACATAATGCTTTATTTAAAAAAAAAATTATGGTGCTCTTATTTAAGCATAAGAGATCATGTTAGACATCCATTAACAGTAGGAAGCATAATAGCATTTTCTGTAGTTTACTTTTCTGTTATATTTTCTTAAATATCACTTGTTTTGGATATCATAGAATCCCCATAATAAACCTTAAAAAAGGAAGGTAAAATCATAGTAATACAATTTTCTTCTTCTTTCTCTTATCTCATAAGTTCCGAAAAGTGATGTATAGGCTAAACTATGACAGCAAAGATCGATGATAATGTCATAGTCAAGCAACACAGCATTCATTGTGGTCTCACGCACTACATATCATCGTTTTATTGCAAATTAAACAATTTATGCAAGTCACTAAGTGCATTTTTGTAAAGTTTAAGATTCAAAAAATATTTTATGAATTTCGGCTTTATTGATCAATACAAAGACACTGTAAGGGCATGAAAATAGTTTTGTTTAAACAAACCCTTTTAAACATCAAATATAATTACAACAAGGTCACAATTTTCTGATTTCATACAGGAAAAATCGTTAAAAGTTCTTAATTAGTTAAGGTTATGAAATGTCATTTAATGACTTTTTGAATATATATTTGTCAAGATATGTATTTAATGAATAATAAATTGTATTATAATTCGGTAGCATAAATGATATCTTATAAAGAAAAAATAACCTTTACTACTAAGCCCATGAAGGGTCAACTAGAATAAGTTGGTTGAGCAAGGAGGTGGTATGGCCTGTCTGATTTTTTTTCCCCGAATTAAGAGTATCCAATTTATAGAGAATGATTGTACCTCAGGAATGTCTTCCACCCCAAGTGTAGATTCATTAGTGATATAACAAGATAAATAATGATCTACCACAGCAGACTCAAACCCGAACCTGTGAGATCAGAGGACCCACTGAGCTACTTCACCCTACAATGTTAAAATTTTGCTGCCTATTCTAAAACCAACAATAAATATTGGAAGCAAATAATGTTTCTACAGAAAAAAATACAATACAAAACCTAATGCATGACCTGAAAAAATTCCAAACTGAATAGCGCTGACAAGCTGAGGTCACTGTTAGTGGGCACCAATTTCAACCAAATTTTATTTTGGTAATCCTAAATAAAAAATATTGGACATGTGTTTCAACATTTTTATATGAATTAGTGTAATTGTCTTGAGCTCAAAAATATTTGCTTAAATTGGACCCCTCGAATTTTATTTGAAAACTACATAAATAGTCCCCAAAAAAAGACTACTCCACCGATCCACATAAAAATCATCAGATACTTAAAGCCCTACGAACTAATAGAAATGGCACAAACCCAATATCCATCAGCAAATTATTATAAAAAATAAACAATGAAAACTTTTGAGAAGTTTTCTTTATTTCTAGTGTGTAAAGAAATAAAATCGAAAAGTCATTGACTGATAAGAGTTAAATGAGCAGTAATTCAGCTCGTTTGTATTACAATTAAATTTGAAGAAAATTCTGAAGTATTATGAATTATTTAGTTGGCAGTCAGCAAAAAATCTTCCAAGAAAATGAAGTGCTAAAATTTATATATTTTTTATTTCTACATTAGTCCAAATTTAAGATTTTAAAAGACTCAAAAAGAAAAATCTAACTTACTTTTCCACAACAAATACTTACTTGGCATACTTTACCGGTAGTATTAGTTGGTTTTTGTAATTTATGATGCAATATAACTCATTAAATACTATTGGAAATATTTTTTTCTGTACAAAAAAAAAAAATCAACTGGTATATAATAACCTAGATATCCAAGTAAAGCAAAGTAATTTTTTTTATTTTAAATTATATAAAATATTTTTTTATATCGGCTTCTAAGGAAGATTGGGACATATGTCCAATATTATTCTGAGGAATTGCCAAAAAAAATTGGTTTGATTTGGAGTCCCAATGATTGTGACCTCCCCTTATAAGTGATTACCTCATCTTGCTCGAAGCTCCAAATGTACCTCAGAACTTTTTTCTCAATAATGGGTACTTTTTCTTCCTCATTACTGAAGGTAGAAAAGCTTTGTATTTTTACAGAGAGGCATGATTCAAAAGTTTAGATGTTAAGTGAATTTAATGACCTAATGTGTGGTTACCACCCTATTTTTATAGAAATTAAAGTTGGCCAGAATCAAATCGACAAAGTGAGTCGAGCACTGCTTCACTACACTCGGTCATGAAGACGTCAGTTTAGAGGATGTCATAACTGGTATTTAATAATTCTTTGACTCTGAACCCAAGTAGAGGAGTTACAGTTAAACTATTCAATTGTAAGTTTAAGCAACACCTTGACATAAATTGTAGACCAAGACTTAAAAGTTCATTATTTCCTCCTAAAAAAAAACTCAATAAAAGTCATCTGAATAAAATGAAGTAGATTCATGGTTTTAACAACTACTATTCTATAAAGTTGTGCAATAACTATTTCTTAGCAGCCAAATTAGTTGTTCCAATAAACTAGACAAACCAGGGAGCTATGTATTGAATCTGAATTATAATATTAAAAATAAGAACAATGATAATATAATAATGTACTTACTTTAACACGGACAAACATTGCTAGATGTATACGTAACCCAACATGTTGCCATTCAAGATATTCATCAACTCTTGCTTGTGCTAAGCTATCTTTTGGGTACCAATGATCGGGGAGATTCTTTTCACGAACCAAATAACGGAGAATACCAACACTGAAAGATTTAAAATAAACATTTTCTTATTATTATTTTTTTTTTAAAACTTCACCTAATTATTTTTTAAATATATGTACATAAAATGTTCTAATCGAAGGGTACCTTACAATTATTAAAAACCAGTTCTCACTTTTTGGAGTAATTTATCTAGTGATAAATACTAAATTCATAAAACACGAATACTTTCATTTTTGAGTAACAAGATATTAATACCTTTCTCTCACAATGAATCCATTATCATCAATGACTGGTACCAATGACAGGGGATTGATCTTTTTATATTCATCCTTCTTGTGTTCCCCTAATTAAATTTTTTTTTATTTTAAAAAAAGGTTTACTAGAGTCATTTATAAAATCATTAATCTTACCAGCCATTAAATTAACAATTTTTTTTTCAAAAGGAATATTATTCAGCTTTAAAAACAAGTAAACAGCACGAGAAGGTTGAGAAAATGTATTATAATAAAGTTTTAAGCCCATGCTTGCTTAAAAAATGTTTTAAAATTATAAATATACAAACTATATTAAAAAGTCAATCTTAACATTAAACTTTGAATTCTTCTTATCTGATAACAGATAACATAAGGTATCGATTTTTTAATTGATCTATCGATATTTTTTTCTTATTTCAATCCCTTAAAGAATAATCTACAAATTCCAATCATATTTTATTGGATTGTTAAAAATAAATAAATGTTTTCTTCCTCACAACGGAATTTAGGAGAGCTTTGTATTCATGCAGAAATGAAAAAATGTTTGTCATCAGAATCGTAATTTTTCACTTGGGTTTTGTTACAATTTTGGTCCCAAAATACCTCCAGTTTTGTGTCAAGTCTGACCACGGGCGGATCTACAGGGGGTGCTCTCGGGCTGAAGCCCTCCCAAAATGGTAAAATATAACCATGTTTTATGGAAAAAAGTTATCTCCTAAAGTATTATTGTTCATGTAATTACATTTAAAAGGACTTAAGGAATCACTTAAACACCATTTCATATAGGTAGTTAGTTTCTTTCTTGTTTTCCAAAGTAATTATCGTCATTTTTATGAAAAAAAAAAGCTTTCAGGCTGAAGCCCCCCCCCCAAAATTAAATCCTGAATCCGCTAGTTAGTCTGACGAGTACTTTTCGAAATATAGGCGTATCCAGGAAATAAGTTAGCTAGCACACACGTAATCGGAAGTATTGTTTGAAAGCAATGTATGGAATTTGATTAAACTGACCTAAATGACCATTTGTTCATCATTCTCTAACCCCTTCAAATTTAGACCAATTTGAAAGAGCGGCTTTTGGGACCAAATGGTGGCGTAACGAGGAAAGTAAATTCATTTGCGCAAATATGCTTTTTTTTCACATTGCCTTCTATGTCGCCATTTCTGGTATAAGGGATGGGGATTTCTTCTAACGTACAACCAAACCTATTTTAATCAGAGTAGGCAGATGGAAATAAATTTTAATAGCCCTTTCCAGCTGAAGCCTGACCTCCAAAATGGATTTTTTTTCACTGGTCCACTAGTAGATCCATTTTTTGGGGATTTTTTTTTTTTGTGGGGGTGTCTTCAGCCTAAAAGCTATTTTTTTCATATATATATATATATATATATATATATATATAGACAATTACTTTAGGAAAAATACTAACTACCTCTATGAAATGGTGTTAAAGTGATTCTTGACGTCATATTAAATGTAATTATTACATGAACAATAATAAGTTAAGAGATTATTTTTTACCATAAAACATGGTTACATTTTACCATTTTGGGTGGGGCTTCAGCAGGAAAGCCTACCCTCTTCCCCATCCCTCCCTTGCAGTAGATCTGCCTATGCACTGGTCTAAATTAATGATGAAAGTTAAATACTTAAAGAATCACAATATATTTTATTTTCTAAATTATAATGCATATAGAGCTACTAAATATAATTATCATACAAAAAATATCTCTAGAATTATTACTGATCTTGTCATTTTTCTACTTGGCTTGAAGAATTTCTTAAAACATTATTTTGAATAAGTAGTTAGTATATTTATTTTCTCTTCCTAGGTATTTATTATTTTACACACTCACGCATGCACCCACCCACGCACGCACGCACACAAGATTCTATTTGTGATTATTTTAAGTTAAAATAACAAATAGCTAATGGAAATACATAGAATTAACATATTTTATATAAAATAAACTTTTATTGGGAAAATGGAAACATTATTTACAAGTAATTGTCTTATCACAGCAATAATTTTTTTATTAATAAAATTATTTTTTTCCATTGAGAACAGAAAAAAAGCTACTCTTACAAAAGTCATATAAAAATAATCTTATGTAAAAAATTTGTTTAAGAAATAAAACAAGAGCAAATGTAAATATATATCACAGTAGGTACATTTACAAAATTAATAAAATCAAATAACAATTTTTTGTTTACAAATTATTCCCAAAATATTCATTAAAAATTATCAGTACAGCTTCCTTATAATTTATATTTGGTACATAATTACATTAATTTCAATGTCGATGAATTGTTAAACTTTTGTAAATTAATAATGTTTGAGAATAAAATCAAAGGGAATAGTATTTTCTTTTTAAAACATGCTAAACAGAATTTGATAGAATTAACACTAGACTATTAGTATATTATTCCCCAACTTTGAGCCAAATTGAAACATCACCAAGTAAAAGAAAATACATTTTGCATGCATAAGCAGCAGTAGTGGTATGATGGAAATTTGTTGATTATTCTTTATAGGCATTGATACATGAAAAAATACAATCTATCAATAGAGCAATTAAAAAATTAATACCTTATGTAATTTGTTATCAGATAAGAGGGATTCAAAGTTTAATGTTAGAATTCAGTTTTTAAAGTAGTTTCTATATTTGTAAAATTCAAATATTTTTTAGCAAATACAAATTCTTTCATCACATAATTAATCATTCAATAATCAAACAATCTGAGGAGCATTCTATGAATAGCCTATGTAAACTTTAAAAAAATTATAATTGGGGCACCTGATGCAGATAAGTAACATTTTTATTGAAATGTGATTTGCAATATCTATCTGAAAAGAAAATTTGTTTTCAAATAAATTAAATGATTTTTAAATTGAGAATTTTAATTTTAAAAATAAATTCTTACTTTACAAGAAATTTATTAAGATTTGGATAGAATCTGCATTTCCTTTGATCAAAATTTGATTTTAATCCTATTTTAAAAGTACTAATTGATAAATTACATTAATCTCTTTCTAGTTAAAAATTACATTTAAGATATAACTATTGAAAATCATTCATCATAAATTTGATTTGATTTCTTGCTTTGAAAGCTTCTTAGCACTGATGGAATTCAGTAATTCGCAAGCTTCATCGTAATATGGATTAGTTTCAGCCCGGATATTGTTCATATATGCTGTCAACTTTGGTCGTCCATTTCTTGGATCATAGCCGCACATTCCTGATAAACAAAAACATAATGTACACTAAACTATTGTATACGGAGAGTATTTATTTCCTCCTCAGTTAAAAACTGTTAATTTATTTAAATCAAGACTCATTAAAGTAACTTCAAAAACTTATAATGAGAAACTATTTTACATATATCAAGTTTTAAATACATATAGTTTACATGCATTAATTATTGTTTAATATGTATTAATTATATGAATCAAAATAGTATAATGATCAACATCTGTTGGTACAGAAAAAGCCTTCATTAATACAATACTTTGAGAGTTATAGTGATTGTTTTCATACTCCTATTCAATTTGCCAACCTGTAAGTAAAAGAACTTACATCCCAAAGCAACTAAATATAAAAAGTAGCTAAATGAGACCACCAAAGAGTGATCTTAAGTGGTCAATTCCACCTCTACCTTTTTTCCAATTTCGAGCATGTGACTCTGTTTATTGTCTTATATATTATATATAGACATCCCACTTTTGGCAGTAAAGTCCCGATTTTTAACAATTTGTTTGCGTTCCATGGTTGGTGTTTTACAAAAGTCCCGATTTTTGGAAAGAATGCACAAGCTAGGGAATGGCAGGAAAATGAGAAGAGAATATACGGTTTTAGGTGGCTATGTGGCTATTTCGCCAGGACATGAGTTTTAAATTATTTTTATTAATTTTATGATGTTAAAAATTAAGAACACTGCTTAATTTTTGAGAATTAACTATCGAGAACCGCTTCGCAAAGTTCCCATTTTTGATTAGTTGTTAGAATTTAACCAACATTGTTTGGGCTTAATAAACAAAAATACTTTTAAAATAATAGTGGATTGATGGTTGACTGGAGTAAATATTGAAGAGAAGTTGGTTGGGGTGTTCAGTAAAAAAAAAAAAAAAATTAAATATAAATAAATAATATTTATTTTTATCTTATAATATCATTTCTTTATTTTTTACTGAACATCCCAACCAACTTCTCTTCGAATTTAAAAATATATTGACAAGGAAAAGGTGAAATCTTTGACATCAACAAATTAACTTCATTAGCTACTTTGATTACCGAAATTTGGTCTCGTTCAATCAGTTTTATAGCATTTTCAAAAAGAGCTGCTTGATTCTGTACAAACAGGCATAAAACATCTAAGTTTTAAAAGCTGTGTTATTATTGCAGACATAAATAAGACGTTAAATACACAACAAATTATTCCTTCTTAAAAATACGTCTTTAGAACTGAATTCTCTACCTTATTTCAGCTGAATACTGTCACCTTTTTTCTTTTTATTAAATAGTATGTCACCTGATTAACAATTGCACCAAAATATCAATTATTGTAGCAACAAATTTGGACTATCCTCTCCCTCTATCCCTCCTCACCGGTCAATGGTGTCCCGCTTTACCAACGTTAAAATATGGTCACCTTAATATATATATAATTTATGCTAACAATAAAAGAACTACTGACTAGGTTGTTCTATTTCCATAGCTGCAAGAAGATCAGCTATAGTCAAATGATCCCCAAAGAGAAACTTGCGGTCATTACTGAGCCAGAAATTTTCCATCACATTGCAGCTAATCTTCATTCCACTTATACTCCATTCTACATCACTTTTTAGTGGTTCTTTTCCAGTTAACAGCGGTTCTAGATGCTATAAATTAAGATTGGTGATAATTAATTTACGTTAAATTGTAATGCGAATTCAAGTCATACTGTATTGGAAAATAAGAGAATACTTTAGCAAAACAGACAGTGGCAAAACTTATGCAGTGAAAGTAAACATAAAAAAATCAATTTATTCAATATTGTTTTGGCACTAAAATATTATCACAATTCATTATAGTCTGTGGACTATGCATATATAGTTTGATCTATACAACTACTATCATTATTTTGTATAGTACTTTTTACCAAGTAACATAATACTACTAATTTTATGTTTGACGAAGGATAGTAGTATTTTCTGAATAAGATCAAGTTATAGATTAAGAATTCAAAATTTATACCCTGACCAGTGTCTGGCAGATCTGATGAATGGTATTTAATTTTATTATTACTACAGTATATAAAATTATACTATATTAGAGAGCCAGAGTGTTAAAATTGATTATGTTTCATATCAAAAACATTTTTATCAAAAGTTCTGATGTCTAATGAGGTCATGTTGACAAACCTAAACAAGATTAGGATCTATAAGAGTTCAAAATTGGAAAATATTTCAAAATTATGTTGCTTTAGTAAAATGAGAGTACCAAAACAAGAGAACTAATTTAAGGATGGTGTATCAAAAAAAAAAAAATATATATATATATATGGAAAAATAGAAATAATAACAAAAAAAACCTACACAAACACGGAAAAACATTGTAAGAGGAAATCGCAAGCCAATATGATGCCATTCAATAAACTCATCAATTTTAGCTTGAGACTTGTGATCCTTTGGATACCAATGATCAGGTATATTTTTTTCTCGGCACAAGTATCTCATAATTCCAACACTAGACAAACATAAGTTTATAATATACAGATATTGAAAATTCATCCTAATTCATTTTTATATTCAACACTTAATTACCTTTCCCTTAAAATTACACCATTTTCTTCTATGAAAGGAACTAAACTTATTGGATTAATTTTTTTGAATTCTTCAGTTCTATGATGTCCTATAAAAATGAATAATCCAGTAAAATATGATTCAAATGATTATTTAAACCAGTCATTGTCAAATTAATATTTATACCCTTGGCCAAATTAATGACATGTTTATTAAATGAAAGATTATTTAACTTTAAAAATAAGTAAAGGGTCCGGCACGGTTGAGAGAGTATGTCATAATAAAACTGAATGGTCATCTTATAACCAAATCTTTAGACAAAACTTGTAAAATTAATGAAGTTCAAAAGTTTGGAACGTCACCACCAAAACTGCTCATCTTATCATCAGTCCGACTTTTGATAAGGTTCAACATCGAGATTTAGTCGATAGTACTATCGATATATAGGTAATTAAAAAACTAATGATAGTCATTTGAGCGACTATCGATAATGTGTATTCTTCCCTTGAGAGGCCCTTACATATCAAATTTCAGCAATATTTTGATCATCTAAGAAGTATAATTCCAATAATCATATTAATACTTGTGACATATTTACTACCTTCAATATTATTGACTATTTGTAGAATAGAAATAGAAATAGAAAAATAATTTTATTCTGGGACGAAGTCCCTTCAGAATAACAAAAAAGCACAGAAATTAAAATTTTACATCTCGCCAGATAAAAACAAACATAACAAATTAAGATTAAGATAGGTCATTAAAAAAAAAGAAAAGAAAAAAAATATTGGTTATACATACTATATACAAAATAAAATAAAAAAATCTATATAAAAAACTCTTGAAACCGTACTAATATACTTAAAACTATGTACAATGTCAAAATATAAATAAACCCTTTTAGAAAAAATAAAAAATACAGAAAAAATAAATGTATATTCTTCTTAACAGTAAAATCTGTTTCTGTTGAAAAAAAAAAGAAAGTCGAATCTATAATAAGTATTTAGGTATGAGCTGTATGTGAATATGGTCTTATAGATAATATGTAATTTTACATAAAAGGTTAGCTGGTGCCTGACTGTTTTTAGGACAGGAATTGGAATAGGAGGGTTTTGAATGTAGATAAGGATGAAGAATGTCGAATTTTGATAGGAAGGGAATTCCAGAAACTAACAGAACGCGCAATAAAGGAGTTTTGGAACGAGGCAGATCTGTGAGAAGGAATGTAAAGATCGGAAGGTCGAGATCTTGTGGAGAGGTTGTGGACTGAGGACTTGAATTGGAGAAGATTGTAGGCGTAGGAAGGACGATTATTGTTGATGATATGATAGAGGAATGTACCTAGGAAATATTGTCTTCGAATGGAGGGGAAGAGCCACTCTAACTCAGTGTAGTGGTGAGAGACATGGTAGTATCTCGGGGCACCAATTACAAATCTCACGCAACTGTTCATTATTCTTTTCAGTCTGTCGGAGAGTCCATCATACACCACACAGCAGTAGTCAAAGTGGGGGAAGATGAGAGAGGAAACGAGGAGTCTACGCGTATGTTGAGGTAGGAGATGGCGGAAGCAATGGAATAGTTTGAGGGTAGAAACTGTCCGTCGGGAGATGTGAGAAATATGGTGACTCCAGGAGAGGGTTTGATCAATAAATAGTCCTAAATTTTTTACAGAGGAGTAGAAGGAGATTGGCTGGTCACCAAGGTTTAGTATGGGAAAGTCCGTATAGGATCTAAGGAGGGGCTTGGAACCAATGACAATGGCCTGAGTTTTTGAAGCATTTAACCTTAATCCGTTTAAGTTTGCCCAGGCACAGATTCGATCTAGGTCTGCTTGGATCTTAGTAAATGCTACCAATAGCTCAGGGGGAGAAAAGGATAGGTATATTTGAGAATCGTCTGCATAAAGGTGGTGGGAACAATGGAGAATTGAGTCATGGAGGTCATTAATATAGGAACTAAAAAGGAGAGGAGATATGCTAGATACTTGGGCAACTCCAGAGGATAAAGGCAGGTAGGCAGATAGTGGTTGATTAGGAATGGAGACTGCTTGGGTGCGTTGTGATAGAAAAGATTGGAACCAAGAGATGGAGCTATTGGAGAAGGAGAGTGATTTTAGTTTGTTGAAAAGGATGGGATGGTTAATGGAATCGAAGGCTTTAGTATTTTAAGGCTATATTATTTTTCTGTCCATCCTTTCCTAGCCTGAAAAGCTACACGGGGTTTTCCCGGGTAAATGGGTGAGAGCAGGGTATTATTGCCAGAGTTAAAAGCCCTCATCCCCCCCCCCCGACCACTAGACGCGAAATCGTAATTATTTTATCATATTTTCCATCTAGTTATAATTCCATTAACATGCCAATTTTTTCATTTAGTAACACGCGTTAGCCCGCTCCACCACCCCGCCCCTGAATAATATTGACCGTATAAGGAACCCTCTAAACACAAATCAATCTCAATTTCCGAACTCTGATAGAAATATTTTTAATAACACGCCTCCCTCCATTAATGAATAAATGGGTAGAGGTCTGAAGATTTTTATCGTTAGAGGATTTTCGTGCAGTAAAAATCCAAAATAATGTAAAATTGTATAATTAACACCCAAAACATGTAAAATCATCAATGTTGTTTAATCTATAACATTAATATTGAATATTTAATAGTTGACCGTTGCATTATAAAGGAAGGAGATGGTCCGGGGTTGCGGTCATAAAAAGGCTAAATAGTGGTAAAAACTATTTTATTGAAAGCCAACGTTTCGACCCGACTTTGCAGGCCTTCATCAGGGAGGTGTGTTCCTCTAGCAGTTTCACTTAGAACTGAGTTCTATTTAGCCTTTTTATGACCGCAACCCCGGACCATCTCCTTCCTTTATAACATTAATATATCGAAATCTTATCAGATCTTGAGTTAACCGCGATATAAAAAAAACAAAATTGAAATGTTACATTGAAAATGAAATTTCTGATTATAATCAACTATTATAACGATTATTATCAAATAATGCAGAACATTAAAGGTTTGAAGGAATAAATGAAGGCAGAAATTATAGGTACCTATTTATTATATAGACCAGACCAATTTTAGATATTTAACTTTTATTTAAAAAAATAAAGAAAAATTTATTTTTTAATAGAGTTGAGATTTGCAATATTATACATTCCAAAACGTGTTTGTTAAAATTTAAATAATTAAAAAACAAAATTGAAATAGACTTTAATATTTGATATTTTCAAGTGTTCAAATATTAGTGATGAAGCTGTTTTTCTAAATCACTAAAAAAATATTTTTGAGGATTACGTTCTTTCTAAAATAAAGAAACAAAAAACGTTCAATTCTTTGATAACAATATTTTTTTCTTAGATTTTTTCCCAATGAGCGTCTATCGGTGATTTCATATTCCCGGATTGATTTGACATAAGGTGTATAGAACTTTTCATCAAATCCTTTGGCCTCACATTTCAAATCTGGGTATTTTTATATACAGATTTTAATTTTTGACGGGAGACTAGATTTTACTTTCATCATTATCATTTTTTTCTACAAGAATGAAATTTCTACAAATCAATTCAAAATATTGAAGGGTTGAACGGTGAGTGAGGATTCAAATCAAAACAATAACTATAAATGTCTTACTAACAAAGCAGCTAATTCTTGGAAAGCAGCTTTTTATTATCCAATACTTTAGGTAAGTTCTATTTCAAGAGATCTCACTTGTGTTAACTTCTTCTTTTTGTAATGAATACGATTTTTGCTTCACACAGAATTATTTGCCTTCCTCATATTATTTTATTTTTAATAATGAATTTAATTTGAACAATATAGAAAAATAAATATTAACACACTCGCCTATACATTTGTATTTATGAATCGTCTAATTTAGCACAAAAGTGCAACAAAAATCAAAATCGTGCAATTTAAGCCAAAAACGGAAAAACGTGCAATATAAAACTTTACTATATTATTGTTAGGGTCCTGAAACGGATAGATATTCTGGTCTGGAGTTTTTACACGCAAGAGAATAAAAAATGCAATATCATGGAAATCCGGTCTCTAGTTATCATAGATATTCCTATCAGTATATTGGCAATTTCAAAATTTCGGTTACAGTTAGTCATACATTTTTCGAAAAATAAATGGACGAAATATTGTGATTTTCGACTTAATAACAATATTTATAGTTGTTTTGGATTACAGTAAGAATACATAATTATCAACATAACCATTGATTTTGTTGATGTGAAGTTGGTTGGTGATAGCAGTCATTGAAAGTAAAAATAAATTACGTTATTAATTTAATAAAGACAGAATTCATGAATTCTAGATTCGAGTGATTTTTTCAGTTCTGCATTTCCAGTGAGAAAGATATCTAGTTCAATTTTTTTTGTTTCTTCATGAACATGTGTAAAGATATAAAAACTAATCTGAAATAGGTAGGAAAGTCGTGTGAGTGGAAACATCAGATCTTTTAACATCTAATTATATCTAAATGAAAGATTGTAAATAAAATACCAAGATATACTAATTTATCACCATCATCATAATCATTCTCTCTACCGCCGTTCGGTGTGAGGGTCCTGCTTATAGAGTCTGGCCCAGATGTCTCTCTCCTGCACCAACTCCATTCTCCTATTCGAATCCATTCCGCGCTTTCTGAATGCCTCCTTTACACTGTCCTCCCAGGAGATGCGAGGCCTTTGTCTGGCTCTTTTTCCTTCCGTGTGGTTCTCGTAAGTCTTCCTGTTGCTTCTATCTGGATCCATCCTAAGAATATTTCCAAACCACCTTCCAGTGTTCTTCCAGAATGGTATCCGCCAGTTTAACGTTGAGATTAGACCGTATGGTGGCGTATCTTTATCTTTATCTTTATCCGTATCTTTCGTTCGATTTTACGCAGACACCTCATCTCCATAGCTTGTATATGGCTTTTGTGTTTGGTGGTGGGGGTCCCCGATTCTGAAGAGTACGACAGGATGGGAAGGAATATACCAAAAACTCATTCCATGAAATTATTTTTAACAACTAATTATTTTTAAAATCCTATCTAATTAAGTAGGTACTAACTTATACACTATATGATAAAAATACGATGGGTACGACGGTCCAGTCCAGCTGCCTTGCCTAGTCTTGTGTTTCCGCTTGCATCTTGGAGTTCTTCTTCACTGATGTAGTCATCCTAAATCTCCTCTGCATCGTTCCGGGTTTCGCACTCCTCAACGTCTCTCCTCTCTAACAAGCCCTTAAAATGTTCCCTCCATCTTTCCATAATACACTTCTCATGCCAGGCGATGTTCCGGTTTTCATCCTTTATTCCTTCCAGCGTTGATGAATGGTCCTTCCTTCAACGGTTCCTCATTCCTTTCAGCACTCTGTAAAAGACTTTCTGGTTTTCCTTTCAGCTTCCAACCAAAATCTTCCCAGGATCTTCTCTTCCCCTGACTTACTAATAATTTGGCTTCATTTCTCCGATTTTTGTACAGGTGATAAGCAGTTGGGGTTCTCTGGCTGAGGTAATTTTTCCAAGCTGTCTTCTTATCTCGGATCGCCTTTTTCACGTCCTCATTCCATCAATATGTTCTCTTAAGATCGGATCCTATGCTTTTCTCTCCGCAGACCAACTTTATCTATGCTGTCGCTATCCTGTAGTCTGTTACAATCTAGTGACTTTCTATTTCCTCTTGGTAAATTCCATTATTAGTTATTTCCATAAAGCCATTTCCTCCTCCTTTAAGTGGTAAGATTTAACCGTTCTTTTCTTAGGATTCCTGTTTCCTTTGTATTGTCACTTCCTTCCAGAGCCTGTTTACCAGTAGTAGATAATGGCCACTTCCGATTTCGTAACCTCTTTTGACTTCAGCGTCCCACAGGTCCCTTACATCTTCTCTCTTCACCCAAAATATAGTCTATTAAGATCTTTCTTTCCTGCCCGGTTCCTCTCTTGTGTATCCATGTTTTTCTTTATGTGGGAACAGTGTATTTGCTATTATAAGGTCGTTTGCCACACAGAAATTTAGGATTCTTTCTCCATTCTCGTTTACAAAGTTTTTCCCATACCTTCCTAAAGTTTTGTGCCACTTCTCATGTTCGCAACCAACTCGGCCGTTCAGGTCTCTCAAGACTGTAGGCGTACCCTCGCTGTCATCCTCTTCTTTTTGTAGGGAACTAAAAAAGGAATTATTTTCTTCCATTCTTCATAAATGAATTTTCGTTAGGTCCGTAGGCGACAATGAATGAATGAATCTTCTCGCCTTTCACAATATCAAACACCATGATTTGATCATTTACGAACTTCCATGCCTTTATTACTGAAGCCAGGTCATTATGGAACAAGAACAGGACTCCTCCGGCTTCTCTTTTATTCCTGTTAACTCCTGAATATAATAATTGTAATCCTGGACTTTAAATTCTTTCTTTCCTTTCTTATTGGTCCCGGTGATTCCAAGCGGATCCACTTTGGCCCTCATAACTTCCTCCACAAGCTCGATCTCCTTTCAAGTTAGACCTCGAATGTTCCATGTAGCAATTCGAAAAATCTGTTTTCCAGGCCTTGTCGCAATCCACAAAATCAGTCCAGCTCTATTCGTTCTGTTTTCTGTAATATTTTAGACTTTAAGGAGGGGCAGGGTATCAGCCCATTTCTCCCAAGTCAGATAGATGGGCTGCCTTTTCGGAGCACCCTGACTTACTCTCCTCTCCATGGCAGCTACCTAGGGAAGGTGATCCTAGGGTGTGTACTGACTGTGACCTTATGTTAATATAAGTGATTTGTGTACTGTTCTGAGTGTGATAGTGCTGTGTACTGAATTCTGGAACTAATTATATCTAAATGAAAGATTGTAAATAAAATACCAAGATATTCTAATTTATATATCGTATAATAAAAATAAGATGGAATTTTGGTTTAATGAATAAGAATTTGTAAAATCTGTGAAAAAATAATAAGCAATAAAGTATTTAAGGGCGATATAAATATTTATTTAGATTAAATAATATTATATAAAAGTATGCTCGTGTTTAAGTTATTTTGTTTATATAAATTTACTTTTAGTATTATCATTTATTTTAAATAGCATGAATGTGCTTTCTGAACACTATTATAAATGTCCTTAGTTGTGACAGATTGTAATATATCACAATAAATAAGTTTAAAAGAAAAAAAAATAAGCTGATTGCCGAATGCTTACAAACAAAATTTTTTGAGGACCATGATCATTTCTTAATGAATGTGAGAGATAACCATAACCATTGGCTCCATCAGAACATTGGTAAAATTTATTTTACAATAAGCATTATAAAAATTGTTAGAGATTAAAATGAAGAAATTGAAAACTAAAAATAAGATAGCTGAAAAGTTTTTCGCTTGAAAGATCAATAAAAAATTCATGAATAAATTATATCATGCTCTAAATCAATGTTTTACAATATACATCACCTTTCCCATTTCCTCATTATTAATTGTAATAGTGAAAAAATACTAACAATTGTAATTATAGTAATAAAAAGAAGGAACTAGTTAAAATTCAGTACTCCATAAGAGGACACTGGAAGGGAAGTAAATCCATTAGTGGTGAGAGTATTAGAGCCCATCTCCATCCCTCTACCTGCTATAGGAAGGCACTCTAGTTAATTCTATACTCAGTGGTTATAAGCCAAGAACAAAAGAAATTTTATATTACATCTACCTATTTCCCTCTCAGGTCCTGCAGGAAGGTATAAAATAAATAACTTTAATTCATAAAATAAAATTTATTCAAACCATTTTAATTTCTTACTTTCCTTTATAAAAAAACTAGTAGTATATCAATATATATACTAAGATATTTATATATATACATTTGTAAGATATTTATAAATAAATGAAATCATTATCAAAAGTTACTTACATGTTAAGTTTAGAAAACAATTATCCACAATCTAGATAAGTAAATGTTTGTTTTTAAAGATTTAGTTGTATCATTTATTTAAGAAAAATAATATATATATATATATATATATATGTATATATTTTTTTTTTTTCTGTTGGCGCTACAGACCATGAAGATCTTTGGCCATGAGTGTGGCCTCCTAAACCACATCCTGGTTCCCGATTTAAAGTACCGGGTAGGATCATCAATCCTACGCCGGGTTGGTGTGAGTTGCCTCCAGTAGAGTGACGGGCCTCACATACCAGAGGTGGGGCGGAGCAATCTCGGGCAGCGTACCTTTCCTTGGTGGACGGTCACCCGCCCAGGTGCTATTGTGTATATATATTTATACATATATATATAATTTTAGAAACTGTTGGTTTTTACATATATCATCGGTCTCAAAGTGAAGTAGTGACTACAACAAAACTTCTTGATTTAGGATTATTTTATATAAATTGCAAGAACATAAAATGCATTAACTGTTTTATGGCATGCTAGTGCTTACTATTAAAATAAAATAAAGGATATGATAAAATTAATTTTTTTCATCTTTATCAAAAGTTCTAACTTGACAGTTACACAGTATGTAAAAATTAACTTAAAGTGTACAACAATTCCAAAGATAAAAAAATATGTAGCTCATTAGTACTTTCAAGACAAAATTTTCCAGAACAGGTAAGTTTAAAAATGATGATTAAATATCAATAATAAAGATATGTATATAAATAATAAATAGAAATATACATTAATAAGGGTAATGAAACAATTACTTGTGTTATTTTTGTTTTAAAATATTTCATATCTGATCAATTCAATTTTTTATTTTAGGAAACTAAGTTATTAATAAACCTACCAATTATGCTGTTAATGTACAAATTTCTCCTTTCTTCCGATTTTTTAAGTGAGCAATAAGTATAGTAGCAAAATCCTTTCTTCCTAATAAGTTATAACTAGTGGAAAGTATTTGTAAAACTGCTTTGTGAAAAACTTCATGACCAAAACAAAACATATCTAAACCTAATTCAAGACCAGTTCCGAAATCACATTCATCATTAGCAATGTTTGCATAAGTTAATACTGGTTGTAACTTTCCCCAAAGTAGTTTTCTTTCTTCTTCTGTTTCAGCTTCGACTAAACTTTTAAACATTTTTTTAAGGGTAACATCATTTTCTTTAAGTTCTCGGTAGCCGACCTCTGTTTTCTTGTCATATGGAACTACCATGCCTGCGCCATGAAATGTTTTAGCTACAACTTTGCTTCTCCTACCTCTCATTTTCTTGGAGAGTGAATCTAAACTAAATCCATTTTTACTCGACCAAATATGAAGAGCCTCTTGAATTTTTTGGATTTTCATCTTTTTAAAAGGATCAACTTTTTTCTTTCTTTTTTCTAAATGAATATCCACAGCTGAAAATAAGTTTTCAGAAATAATATTCAATGTGCAATCAACGTTGGCTTCATTACTTGCAACAAATACTGGTTCTTCCTTGGGATCATCTCTAAAGTAACCATAATGTAACAAATTTTTGTCATCACATTTCAGAACTGTTTGAAATTCGGGTGGATCATAAAAGTAACGATAATGCTGTAATGCAGCAGTTTGATCGATCTTAAGAAAATCTTGAGTAATTAAGTCAAATGGACCAACTAAACTGAGCCCTGCAGCAATTAAAGCTTGTTTAGGGTTTTCTTTGTCAAGAGATTCACAAAAATCAAAGAAGCTGAAAAAATCATTGGGCATTTTAACCAAAAACACAGTTTCTATTTTATCCTTGATATCCTCTATAGTACTAATGTCAATAAAGGCCGAACTATCATCTTGGGCAGATCCATTTAAACTATCTTGAGGAATATCTGTAATTATAACATTTTCACAGTCTTCAGTAACTTTCTCACTAAAACATGTTTCTGTTTTAATTTTCTTTCCTACATTTTCAACTATATCTTCAGTTTTCCTTTTTGGATGTTTGAATCTCCTGTGATGCTGTGGATTTTTTTGATAACAACTATCTCCGTATTTACATAACTTCCTTTCATCTTCATCTCCACTAGACATTTTTTCTAAATTTATAAAGCACTAAAAAATATAAATAAATCTCATGATCTAATGATTGACAAGTGTAACCTTCCTACCACACACTTTTGGAGGGATAAGAGCCAATGGTTATCTATTATTTGAAAATCTATTTTGATCTATTATTTGTTGTCAATATGAATAATTATCTCAAGGAAATTTCAATTAATTCAATGAATTCATTTTAAAATAGTACATGTATTAAATTCCAGATTGACGATTATAGATTTCACATTTTTGACTAATCATGAATGCATACTGTTTAGATCCAATAAATCCAAGGGAAATTCCTTATTTATATGAAGTGTCAAACTCTCTAAAAATTGTTAAAAGCTGATTTTTTAAAATCAATACAGATAGAATTATTTGCTAAGAGTTTGTAAATATTGTCAATTAGTGAGAACAATGTATAAATGAAATCTAATTTATTTATCCCTTGATATTTCAGTAAGTGAACATTTTCTCAATTGATATTTTTTGCTATTTATTACATTGGTTAACACAAATAATAATAATTAAAGTAGTTAATTTTCGTTTATATTAATGTAATAAATGTTTTAAAGTTCTTACTTGGAATTTAAAAACAAATCATAATTTATCTAGTTATAAAAACATAGATATCCTATTATTTTTAATTTATCTCTTGAAAGGTTTACTTCGCAGTTTTTAAGAAGTACTCTTATAAAAACTCATGTAGGTTCTATTCTGATTTTATATAATTGTAGATTGTTATGAATTGTTTTTATCTTTAAATCTCTCACTTCTTAAAATTATCATTAACCTTAGTTATAGTCTATTTTCTGGATTTTAAATAATCTTACATCATAGAGTGCATTAATCATTCACATGAAGTGCAATTTCTATATAATTCGACAATTTATTACTTCTCTTTTATTAAGTTTTATTTTGTTTAGCCCAATTTTCTGTTAGACTTATTATTGGGATCATTCATACGTTAATGTTCTGATTGTTCTACTATTGTCTATAATTTTTTTTTACCAGGTTTTCTCAATTTTTAGAATGGAGGTATTGCCAACAGAATTGTTGGAGAGTATATTTGTATATTTAGATGGATATGATTTGAACCGTTGTACATTAGTGTGCAAAAGATGGTACACTGTAATTGCTAATGATCGTCTTTGGAAAAGTGTTTGTTTAAGGAATGATATCAAGAAAGAGCATGACCCAGTTTTATCTGAAGGTAAAGTGGCATCATATATTTATAAGATTTGTGGGTACTGGAGATTAGACTAAGATTAAGATCATATACGGGCCATGGAATTGGTAAATATCCTACACAGTATACCATGGATTATTCTCTTTGTGTTTGGCCATTCATAATTTCCTTGAACTAAATTAAATTAAAAAACTCTAAGCCCTACAAGATCAGGGTTGTCTAAACTATACTTTTCGGATCATCACAAGCTCACAAGAACCACTAAGCTCCTGTGGTTTATTTTGTTAACATTGAAAAATTTAACATGTTAATAAATAACTCAAAATAATGATGAGTTGTTTTTATCTGACAAACAATGAAAGAACACCATTACTAATATACAAAATCAAATACAACATTTCAAGTATGTTAATGAAAACTAAAGGATATTTGTTTGTTGAGGTAGCTCTGTATTGTCTCGTAGGACTATTTGAAAAGTCTGTTGTCGTATGGCTATACTTTTTAGACCGCCTACACTTTGGGTTACTAATATTCTCTACAACGATAAGTTTAACAGATGTTAATCTGTTAAATACTTTAGTTCTAAGTAAATTCATTTAGCTATAGTTAAATTCATTTTTTCTCTAGTGAAAATTGATTTTGTAGCTTTCCACTCTTAATGATTATATTTCATCTCATAAGTTTTTTTAAATTTTAGATAGTGCTGAAGAATCTCTAAAATGGAAGAAATTTTATCAACTATACATACAGAGATGTAACAATTGGAAGAAAGAAAGGTTTACAAAACACAAGAAAGGAGGTGAATCCTGGTTCTTTCAAGGTTGGGCTAGCTATCAGGGAATATGCCTCTTGCCGACTTATACTGAAAACACAGTTGATGTGTTTAGAGTGACACGTAAGTCATTCGATTTAGACCAAAGGATTCACTTGCCCATACCAGGTCTTGAACCGACATTCCTCCTCACCAATATTGAAACAATATCTGCCGCCAAGAGCAATATCACTATCCTATATAAAAGGGTCGATAATATTTATAAATTGGACCAGGTCTTCGCTTGCAAGAATGGTACTGTTGTACGGTTCACTGGTGACTCAGAAGATCATAATGATCTGCTGTCATTCATTTCCACAATATACAGACGGTGTGGTATGGTGAGGGTCATTGAATTTAAGCAGAATATCCTTTGGATCTGTGATTACAATAGTGGTCGCCTTTTTGTGATCAATGGAAAGGATGATAAATGGTTTGCTATTGATTCAGTAACATTTTTCAAAACAGGGTATGATTATGTCTGCTTCTGGACCAACAAAAGTCTTTCAATTTGCAACCTCTATGGTGATATAATATTTACTTTGAGTGATACAGGGATAGATTTGATGTCATTCAATGATAACTATCTTGCTATCAAGTTCAATGAGAGGAACCATGTTGAAACATGGAATGTGAAGACTAAAGAAAGCCTTACCACAATTGAGGTGGCATTGGATACATCACTCGTAGTTCATAAGAAATTTCTGGTCCTGCTACAGCTCCAGCATTTCTCCTTGAGTTGTCATAATATTCAAAGCGGTGAAATTTGCTGGAAAGTATCGTATAGATTGCCTGGACCGCCAAGGGCTCCTCTCTTCCCTTGCCAGCTTTCAGTTATTCTCAATAAGTTCCTTCTTATCTTTCCTTCTCATAGGTATGGCCAACAAGCAGCTAAGTTCTCTGTCGTCAATATAAAATCAGGAGAAATCTATTACACTAGTAAATTTTCAGGGATAGTAGTAGAGGTATCAGATCGTCTTCTTGTTACATTGTCATCAGGAAAGGACAGTTATGAATGTGGTAATCATATGTTTATTAGGAGTTATATTTAAAAGAAACATATTTAAGTATTACTAAGTTTATTAATATCTATTAGTGAAATTCAAACTATTTGAATTAAGTGTGTAGTAAAATTTTATAATTTACGTTATAAATCTGTCCTCCAATTTTATTTAAGTTTAGGTCTTATGACACTTTGTACCTATTATACATTGTAAACAATTATCATATACATTTTCTAAATGTATATTTATTGTTAAAATGTCATAAATGTTGATCTCAATATTCTATTTGATAGGGTGAATGACGAACTTCTTAAAATAGAACTATTTTATATTCTGAGATTATTGTGCTCCAGTACAATGTATTTATTTAATATTTTCAGTAATTGACAGTTTAATAAAAATAAACTATGCTTGATCTTTGTCTGTTTTTTTTATGTAAATTATTTTGTTCAATTAAGTCTTTTTTTGGTAAAGATATTTTTTTTTCCCTTTATTTTGTTTGGAAAATTATATTAATTTTTTTTAGGGTATTTTTGTTTTCAGATTCCAATCCTCCAATCTTTGTGTTGTCAATGTTTTCAATCTTTGTGTTGTCAATGTTATCATTCAGGTTCCTTACCCATCTTAAGAACAAAACTTTTATCCATTCCTTCTGATGTTTTCCACTCTGTCATGTTAATACTCATAACTTCTATTTTAAATTAAATTTAATCTAATTAAAATATTTGTTTCATAGAATCTTCTATCAAGAGAGACATACTGAACTCAAAAATTAAAGAAATTTTTTAACAAAAATATCCAAAATAAATTTTCTGATAAGAGCCATTCTATTGTAATTTTATATGTCACGTTTTGTTAATTCATTTCTGTTGGAATTATATATGTTTTTATTTATTAATTTTCTTGCTTTTTGCATTTAAAACATTCTATGAGACTACTCTCATTCTATGTTAAGCTGTTTGTGACCCTATTTGCCAGTCAGCTATCCATGTGTATGCTCTAAATGATGCTTCTTTTCATTTCTGTGTTGTTTTGTCATTTAATTGTCTATTCTAAAGTGTTGTTATAATTGATGATACAGGACACTAAATTAAGCAGCCACCAAGATCCCCATCCCTATAACACAAAGTGTTAACCCTGTCTTCTGTCCTTGTGTGATGCTATGGCTCACTATCACTGTTTACTACATTTTACATATGCATACTCACAGAAAACTATATTAACAGTCATTCTGTTGCCAAAAAGAACTTAGCTGAATTAGTTGTTGATACTGCTCATTACAGCTTAGTAAACTTATGTATACAAATCAAAACATTTGATAAATCCTTTCAGTTTTGCTTTAATAATGATATAGTTTTGTGACATAAGTTTGTTACTACTTATGTTGCACTATTACTTTTAGAAATTTGATTCTGACTTGATAACTTACTTTAAAGGTTCTAAATAGTGAAAATTAATTCAGGGTGGGGGCCGACCTAGAAAAATTGGAAAAGTCAGGGAATTTTTAAAATAGAGAAAATTCAGGGAATTTTTTTTAACACGTCTATTTTTTTTAAATTTAATTGGAAATAAATATACAGTGAATATCGATTATGGGGCAAACTTCATTATATATAAACGACCACAATCGCTATATTCATCCACCTTTGACTGTCAATAACGGCACTGATCGTTATATTGATATCAAACAAGGATAATGAATGAAATTCAAACAAAATTTTCTTAAAATATTAAGATGAAATGTTCTTAAAACAGTATTTTTTTTTAAATAAAAACATACCAATACTATTTAATATTTGTAATATATTTACCTGGGTCAAGATCTGGCTGGCAAGCACTCGTTCGTTCGACCCATGGTGCTCCTTAGAAGAGCATTTTTTAATCAGAAATTGCATAGTTGGTGTAATATGGATAATTATTATGCTGCTTTTAGTAATGAAGAAACTAAGTTACTAATGAGAAACTACATTAATATTAGAATCCCCCATAGCTCACTCTATTTTATAATTGATAAAATTAGAGCTTTATATGTCAAACATCAACTTATACCTCCTCTCAGTTTATGAATATAAAATAAAGTGATAAAAATAAATTACTAAATGTTTAGTTTTCTAAAGTTAAAAGTCCTAATCAATCGTAAAAAATAATTCCTATGAAACATTATGTTTGTTTTTATAAACCTTATTTTTTGGTTTTTACTTCATTTTATAGTCAATTTCCTTTCATGTATAATAAATAAATTTAGTTATAAATTATACATTTTTAATATTTATTTCTCCAGACATATTGGTGAGGGAAAATTATCATTAAATAGGGACATATCTGGGAAAAGTCAGGGAATTTTACTTCAACTGTTTGGTAACCACCCTGTGATTTTAATAACACATAAGAAATGGAATATATTATTTTTATCCCTCGTTTCCCATCCACTTTTTACCAAATTGTAAATATAAATCTGGCATTATTTAATTAAAAAAATTATTATGTTTTTATCATAACCTTTCCTCTTAATTACATTATTTAACCTTTGGTATCAATTCGAATCCACTACTTGTTACTCCAGACATTTTATTCCATTACAGTTTACATAATTTATTTAATAAAGTTTATATATAAAGATTGTATATATATATATATATATATATATATATATATAATACTTTTTTTATTTTTTGGTCAATCATAAATTTGTTATCTAATGCTTCCAAGTTTGGGAAATATCATATATAATATAACGTATCAAAGGATAAATGAATCAATTGTTATTTTATCGAGAAATATAATCGACAAAGGAAACAGAATTAATGTAAATCTTCATTTTTGTTTGGAACTAACATATTTACAAATTTCAATAAGGTGTATCTTTGCAAAAAGTTGACCGATTTCGATGATTTTTTTTCCTTTTGTAGACAATTTAGTAATGTTTTATGTAATCATGGAAATAACCAAGGGAAAAGTGTGTAATTTTTCAGTTATTTGTAAATAAAGTTTCTTTTCTTTCATAACTTGTTTGCCTGAATTTTCGGGATGATTGGACTATTTTGCCCGTCTGAGCATGGAGACCTCAAGTCGACTAAATGAGACATGTATCCAATGCCAGTACTACAATTAACGTCAGGTTGTGTGGATGCAAACCCCATGCCTTGGGTTATCTCGAAAATAGTACGTTTTTGGGCTTAAAAACGCAGGATCCGATAGTTCCAAAGGAACTATCAGGGTCTTGCTGTACGCATCAAAATCTTCAAGGTCCAATTTGTCCCACATTGATCTACAGACCTACCACCGTTCCAGTATTGAAGCCTAGCAAAATGTTTGTATCGTCTTTATTTATTTTAGAAAGAAAAACAAAAGCGGAGAATACGATTTGCTAACCCCCGTGAAATTCTGAATCCAACGGTACCCCATTCATGGTATTTCAGCATGACAGGAGCTTATATTTGGTACAAAACCAATTTCGAGCCCTACTGTAATAATATATGTGGGGATTTCTTTCTTGTCATAAATAATTTCACTCATACTGTAGAATGAATTTCCTAATATATTAACTTCTTTTTTATTTCTCCAGTTTTCATCTGTTAAGTCTTTTCAATGACAGATCGTTCTGTCTTAACAAATTATGTTCTTTCTTATTTTGAAAACTTTAAGTTATAGTCAATTTTCAATAATTTAATGAATTTCACCTCTCTGGATGGAATGTGTTTAATTTTAATCTTATATAACATTCTAATTATTAAAGAAAACAGTTAAGTGAAAGTAGTTTGACTCTTAATATTTTTGAAGATGTTTTAACTAAATGATTATTACTTTTTTTAATGTATGAACATGTGAGATTCATTAGTTTCCTCTTCTATTTGGATTTAGAGATTATTTCATTGATTCCTTTCTGTCATATCAAGTGTTATTGATTTAGAAAATTAGCAATCCCTATAAAAAGTTATAGGGAGAGAATCAAAAAATCTCTATTAGAAATATATCATTTTTCTATGACTGTTACAGATTGAGTGTTTTCAATATAACAAATCTTATTGTATTTCAGGTGTAGTGGCCAAATTTAGAAGTGCCGTTTTAAAACTTTTTATTTTCCTTTTCTAAATTATATCAACATTACTGAATTTTTACTGTAATGATCCATTTATTGCAATATAAGTTATAATAAAAAGCTTGGCCACTTCAAATCCGTGGAAGTATTTTCTCTACATAATCTTTATTAGGTTAATGATATAGGGTTATTACTGTCTGCATCCTCATTGGATATTACTGTTTCATCCTCGTCTATGTAATGATATTTATCCAATTTTTTTTTTTTTTAATGAAATAAATATTATATTTTTTATTTTTTCATAGTTATTAAAAATGTCCTTGGGATGGGTTCTACCATTTATAGACTATTTCTTATTTGTGTTCATCGAATACAAAAATATTAAAGGCTGGTATTGTTAAAGTCATTGTTTATTATTAATATATTTTGTTCTCATTTAGTTTCATTCTAATCTAAGAATCAATCTCCAGTTAATAATGATAATCACTTTTAAGTGATTTATTGATCTTGAAAAAAGTATTATTTAATAGTATTATATTCTTAGTTATCTATGTCAAAATCATTAATGATTTAATTAATTGTGGTGCTATTAATAATTTATTATACGGTGCTTTCTTCTTATCTAGATATTTATTGTGTACAGTTTATTTATTGCTTTGAAATTATTTATTATATTAAAGTAAGATAATTTATATATGTATATATTATAATTTTATTTATGTTATTATGTCTTATATGACATTGAAAGTTGATTAGTTTATGATTCATCATTGCATGTATTTATCTCAAATGTCAGCTTATGAACCAATGTGCTCAACCTTGTTTTATTTCTAAATCACATCAAAAAACTACCATTTCATCATCAAAGCAGGCTTTTTTCTGTTTAGATTATATATATATATATATATATATATATCTTTTTTGTAAGGCATTGGAGTTTATTTAAAATATCACTAGCTTATCTGCTCATGGTTAATATTTAAAAGAAATTTCTATGTCTATAAATTCCTTGCCATGATTAAATGTGATTATTTCCTTAAATATTTTAATGGCCTACAAATAAAATGTGTTCAAAAAGATGAAAATTGCTAGGATAACAACAGTTCTTTTTAATATTTTTCAATAATAAAATTCCTACAGATTATTTTTTTCATATTTATTGTACGATCTATTTTTAAAAATAGTTTACCTTTCCTGTTTTAGATTTTCCTAACAGCTTATTATTGGTATAATACAATGAAATTCTTAACTAGATTATATTGTCGTTAAATAATTTACTGTTTTGTTTTTATCTTATTGTTTATTTCCTTATTCTAAATGTATCTCATTGAATTTATATTTGTGGAATTAATGAAAGGTATTTTAACAACTGGGATCATTTTTATCCTGAATTCATCTTTTACAGTAAATGAAAAATTAATTTTTGTGATTTTGTATACATTACAAAACATTTATTTCTTAAATATTTGCATATAATAAATTAATGATCTTATTTATTAAATAAATATTATATTTTTAAATAAAATAAACGCATTTCTTTTTCCTGTCCAATGAAACTTTTGTTTTAAATCTAATCACTTATAGAGCACTTTTAGATAAGATGGTATTTAGGCAGGATTTCCAGTCTAAATTTGTTCATTCTGTTTGCTGATGTGCTGCTCAATCAACAGAATCAAGGTAATGACATTGTTTAAGATACTATTTCCTTGTACTTGTGTAAAAGAAGAAATGAAATATAAAAATATTTCATAGATATGTTTATAACCTTAAAAATATTTATTGTAGTTTAATAACTCTAGATCTGATATTATATATAATTAATTAGGTATCTACTATCCATTTATTCCGAAAAATCATGATGTAACCTTTTAGGAAATTACATTAGTGAATAATTTGATGAATTTTCCATTTGTGATATCCAATAGTATCTTCTTATAATTAAGGCTACAACTTTTGACCTATCTATGACAGGCAATACAAATCTCGTAATTCCATTTTAGTAAACTTTGCAATGGAAAATAACCTTTTAATAAATATTAGACATACAATCCATAATCAACCATTGATATAATGAATAGGAATTTTGTTATTTTAATGGTATTAATGATTTGTTAGCTGTTATCCTCAACTCCATTCAAAAGTCGCAAACCAATGATTATGGACCTTATAACATCCCAGTCAGACTGATCAAAGCCTCACTACCATCCATCCTTCCAATCCTCTACCATATGAATAAATTACTTACTACAAAATGCTACCTTTCCTACATCCTGGAAAACCGCACTAGTTCGCCCTATGAAAAAGACTTCCAACCCATCAACTCTCTATGATTTCCGTCCAATTTCTCTCCTCTCAAATCTTTCTGAACCTTTAGAGCGACTAGTTCAAACCCAGGTTCCGATTTTTAACAGAATAACCTCCTAAATCCCAACCAGTCCAGTTTCCAGAATGGCTGCTCCACTCAGTCTGCCCTCATCAAAATTTCCCAAGACCTTCATACAGCCATGGACCAGCAGAAACTCACCATCCTTATTCTCCTTGACTTCTCCAAAGCCTTTGACTCAGTAGACCACAAAATTCTCCTAACCAAGCTTAAAAATATTTCCTTCTCAACTAGTACCCTTAATTGGTTCCAATCCTTCCTTTCCGACAGCTCCCAGTATGTTGTAGTCCCCAATAACCCCCCCATCAGAACCTTTACCTTTGTCCAGGGGTGTCCCACAAGGCTCCTCTTTATCTCCCACCCTTTTTTCCATCTACATCAATGACCTTTCATCCTCTGTCCTACAGTGTCAATACCATCTGTACGCCGACGACGTCCAAATTTACCTCTCCTTCAATCCAACCGAATCCTCTGGCGCCATCCAAAAATTACAGGAGGATATAAACGCAATATGTGCCTGGGCAAATGCCAATAAGACGGAATAATATTCCGGAATGGAATAATATTCCATTCTGATCGGATCTCCCTCACTCCTCAAATCCATACAGATACTCCCCAATCTTTTCCTGAACAACTCAGCTATCTCATTTCATACTTCCGTAAAAAACCTTGGTGTTACACTCAAACCCTCTCCTGGAAACCACACATCTCCCAAATTTCCCGTCGTACTATCTCTACCCTGAAACAGTTTAACCGTCTCCGCTATCTCCTTCCATATAAGTCCTGTCAACTCCTGGTTTCCTCCCTTGTGTTTCCCCACTTCGACTATGGCTGTCTGGTGTAAGGCGGACACTCGGGAGAATTCGAGGCCAAACTTAAATGAAACCTAAGGCCAAACCTAATGAACTGCGCAATACGTTTTGTTTTCGGAATCTCAAGAGATACGCATATAACCCAGTATTACACCAAGTTGAAGTGGCTCTATCCATCCAACCCCCGTCTGTACTTCCTTGCCACCTTTCTATACCAAGTCATCAGAACTCAGCGGCCTTCCTATATTTTTCATAGCCTACAATCCAAATATTCCATTCAATCCCGTCTCACTAGATCTCATACCTCCGATCTCTATCCACCTCCCCACCGAACTGCAGCGTTTGACAAATCCTTTATAATTCAAGCAGTCTCCTTCTGGAATACCATCCCTCCCGATATCCGACATGTACAATCAGTTTCCTCATTTAAATCTCTCCTTTTTAACCACCTATTCCTTTCCCAACCCGATTGATCATGAAATGTAGATAAGAGAACTTTTAAAGTTCCCCCAGAAATGATTTTCTTTACTTATGCTATTTTATTTTCCCATGTTTGTACTATACATATCAGAATGTTTTTAGTGTAATAGTTCTATTTTTTGTTTTATTCTTTTTTCAAAATCTTAATCTTAATAATAATTGTAAATAATTAATTTTATGTATGGCCACACAGGCATTTATTCTGTATCTGTAATTTGTCCTAAAGGGACAACAGTCCCAGGATAATAAAAAAATATTTTCATTTCATTTCATTTATCTTTAAGCTTTAGTTTGGTTAAAAATGCACATCAAAAATTTTATAACATCCCAATATTACTTGAAAATAATTTCTATTCAAAATAAGTGAAAGTTGGGGTTAAAATTTGCTTAAACTTCAAAGTTTGAGGATAAATGACAGTAAGCTGAAAGAATAATAAGAAAGCACTTTATTATAATATTACATTCATTCTTCTAAATCAAAAACGTGAAGCATTGATAAATTTAAAGTTATTTATATTTTAAATAGCTATATACAACAGAAAAATATACACTAATATACAAATAAGTACTTTTAATTATAAATATATATAAAATTATTTTAAATAATTTTGGCTTTTGAGACATATTTACAATAAAAGAATAAAAATTTACACAACACTTTGTAACAACCTTAACCTAACAACACTATATAAATGGAGAAAAAAAATATACATAAATAGGCCTTCTCTAACAATTAGTGAAAAAAAAACTTTAAATATATATTAAAAATAATCATGTAAAGAAGACAAAAATTATAAATGATGAGGTAATAGAAGAAAATTAGAATAAAATATTTCTATAACAACCATTGAAAAATATATGATAAACATAATTTTAAAAATGTATTTTTCAAAAAAATTTTAATATATACACGTACATCCTGTACATTAAAGCTTTTACGGTACCGAGCATGTTTTTCATTTTTATTTAATGAAAACAGCCTCAAATCATTCTGGAACGCAATCATATCATTTTTTAAAGCAATAGTTTTACATAATGCATTCCTAAGGCTGATAGGAATAAAAGCAAGCAGTACCTCTATATCTCAACCTGCAGTCTAATGCAATTAAGTATCAATAGTTATCAAAACATTTTTTTGATAAATTCAAATCTTAAAGAGAAACAGCAAATATTATAGTTTTATGGATAACTGCAATAATAATACTAATAGCGTCTTTCTTGAAACATAAGAGAAGTTGGAAACATTAACTCAGAAAATGGAACTGAATAATATGAGCACTTTATTAAAACCTAATGAATTTATAAAATCAATTCCATTAAATAAAAAATAAATAATGTAAATTAATAAATAAAATTTAGTATGTCAGTATTAAGTATTGGTTTACTTTGGTAGAACTACTACATACAGGATCTTTTTTTCCAGATCCTTGAATGTTTATCAGAAAAACTTTACATATATAATAAAATTTTGGTAATCTATTTTGTTTAAAAATTAACTATGTAATATCTTATATATTAAAATTCATATTCATGCATTCATTTCAAATATAAAAATCATAGGCCATTAAGTACATGATTTATACATTTTTAAAAAATTACATGAATATGTCAGTTGGCTCAATTTCTTTTCCTTCAACCTAAAAAGTGTTACATAAATAATTCAACTATAATTGTTTTTAGTGTGGCCTACATGTATATGTACAAAAATGATAAAAAATGTGAATATAAATTTTTCTACAGAATTCTCTTCCAAAGGATTCATCAATTATAGTATACAGAGGTTCAAATATATTATGAAATATCCAATAATGACATACTTTAATTTAATTGATTGTTTTCTTTAATTATATTTCAATGCTATATCCGCATTTTTCTTTTTCAAACTTATTTTAAAGGAATAAGCCTATTACCTAAAAGTTTTAGGGCGCAAGTGAAAATATGTCCTTAAAATGTGAAAATATAAATTGCCATGACAAATACTATCTCAGAGATTTTCAAATCTAAAATTTTCTTCTACACCTGTAAAAACTTACATACAATCAACTTAAATTTAAATGAATAATATACAACATAAGTTCATTTTTATTATTATTTTTTTTTTTACCAATTTCAACAGAAGCAAAACATTTGTACAGATCAGATGGATATTTATTTCAAAATTCTTATATATATATATAAAAGTGCCACTGGACACATTCAAAAACTTTACATTTTAAGTTAGGACCAGACATTCAGTAGTAATTGTCTCATGAGCAGTAGAGGTGACACACTGAACCAGTTGTCTGAGAAGCAACTCGTGCGCATGTGGTTATCAGTTTTGGAATGTTTATTTGCCTCTACAAACCAATAAACACTCTCTAATTCTTATAACAGCTAAATACTAAACAAAACTTATATTTGCATATGCCTGCTCAACAATGGATGAATATAAAAATGAATAATAAGGCTCAAGGCAAATATTTTGGCACTCAGAACTCGGCAAATCAAAATGCCTGGTCCCCCCAGCTTAATAACTTAATTTAATAAGGGATTTAAGTTTCATAAATAATAATATAATAATGAGAATAATAATAAACAAATAATATAAATAATGAGCAAAAAAGTGTCTATAAAGTAGATATCACACAATAAAACAAATTTAAACTCTACTAATATGAACTCACTATATATCTGAACTACCTATAACTAGTTTAATCTAGTTTCATATGCTAATTAGTGAAAATATACTACTAAATTAATGCCTCTTATATTCTAAATATAACAAGACTAGTTAAAAAAAGGTATAGGTTTTTTAGGCTTAATACTAAGCACTTTATTACTTCTGTATCACATCAAGCACAGTAAAGATTCACTTAATTTTGGGATGTAAACTGAGTGGTATGGGGTTACTCTTGGTGGCTATCTTACTGTGACTTTTCCAGGTCATCAATAGATAAATTATGGATCATCAAAATATTTATAATTCGCCACAAATGATGTTTATTAATAATCAATTTATATAATTAGTACAATATTTCACATTTTAAATACTGCGATCTACAATATCAGAGGCCTAGACAATATAGTTATAAAACACTATAATTTTTTATGATATATAAGTTTTAAGATACCTAAAAAAAAATGTTGAAGTGAATGTGTACTTTAACTTACAAATAAAAATTTTAAGACCACCTCTTTGACAAAAAAACAATAGAAATATAATCGTTAATACTGTTTTTTTTTTTAGACTTATTTAATTAAGACAAAACACATTTTTTAAAAAATAAAAATCTATTTTAAAAAACAAATAAAAGTTACCTTTATTGGCACAGAAACGATTTCTTAATAAATTGTTTTAAGAATATAATTATTAAAAAAATTGTTTATTAGAAATCATCGATGAACATAATACGTTAGAAGTGTCAAAAGTATAATTGTGTATATATTGCTAAAATGTTAACTTATTGTGACCAATAATAATTCTAAATCATAACAGCAAAATTACACTGATATTCCCCACCTTATAAAATTTCTTGACTTTTCCATCTTAAAAATTCTGTGATTTTTCGAAGTTCGGTAAACACCCTGGTCCTATTAAGTAATTTTTTTTTGCTACAATGTAGTCTTCCTTAGAAGTGGAATTTGAAAAATAACTAAAACCATTTTAAGTAAAGCTATATTTACATATAAAATGACCATAAAGCTGAGCATGGAGGGAATTCCTTGGCATTATTTTCTAAATAGAACTGGCTTATGTCCACTAACACTTCAATTTTATTGATACTTTCTTCAACACTAACTTGTGCAAGTGAATAGGACAAATAAATAGTTCTAAGCCTTACTAAACAAGACAAAGAGCTAGAACCACAACAATGTTCATTAGCATAATATGGTCAATCAAACTATACAATTTATTAATGAAGTCAAAAACTATTTAATGAAATAAAAATAAATAAATAAAACATTCATGCCATTACTGATGTTTTTATTTCAAAATTGGATGATATGTTTTAAATTGAAAAATAATAAAAGGAAAATATGTTCCTTTTTCATGAGGATAATATATATAAATGTTTTACAACCTACTTAATAGTTGGATGAAAATAAAAATAATTTTCGGCTAAGGATTTTTTTTCTTACTTAAGGATTAAGGATCCAACACTTTAAATTGTAATATACTATTTAAAACTGAAACTGATAAAAAATAAATAAATAAAGAAAAAGTACCTGTACCACTACAACCTAAGAAAGGTTTTGGGTTCAGTACTTTGATAGAAAGAATTGTTTCAAGGCCAACAGTTGTACAGGGAGGTAATCGGGCTTTTTATCCCCTTAATTAATTATTTAATTAAAATTACTCACTTTATAGAGGCTGGGTGTGACCCATAATATATTAAATATTTTTCTAATAATCATATTACTATAAAAATATGAATAGAAGGCTAGAATGATTAGAAGTAAAGGCAATCAATATATACCGTTCCTGGTTCTCTACTACAACCACTAATGCTGTTTTAGTTTAAAGTTTTAGAGAAACTGAAAATAATATATTTTTGTGGCTTTTTCGTCTCTTTTTAAATTTGAATAACTACTTCAAGTATTTCTCAAATAAAGTATATTCTCGTATTGAATAGTCTTAATAGACAAATTAAATTTGGTATCAATTCCAATTACCAAGATAATTTATAAACTAAATTGCAAAATGAAATTAATTAAATAATCTATGATATAATAATGTTAATAAAGTTAGCAGGCATTGCCAAATTGAATAATTTGGTGATGCTTACAAAATGGCTAGTCCTATCCTAATACAGATTAAACTTCTTTTCTTAGCTTACCATTCATGCAAATTAGAGACTTAGAGATCAGTTATTTAGGATTCAGCCATTGTATTGAAATATCAGAAAAACTTACAAAATCACAGCGGGTAAGGGAAAATTTCTTACTCTTTAACAGGTATATTCCTCGTAGTACTTTGAACTATGCAATTATGGCTAAGAGAATCTCATGATGAAACTAGAGGAGGCAATAAATCAGGATAATCGTTGACTAAGAAGTGATATATGAAGATGGATTTCTTCCTGTCCAACTGCTGCTGAGACGAACGCGGTTTGGAAACATCTCTTGGTACTGGTTTATCACGCATGAATATGCCACCGAACAGTGCAGCTAAAATAAAATCCATAATTACTAATTGTCACATTATGGACAGCTGGAAGACTAATTTGTTTATTTTATACTAGATAACAAAATTTCTTTAATTACAAAAAATTGTACAAAATATTAATAAAGAAATGTTTTAAATGTTAATTATACACTAAAAACCACGCGTTAATATCAAAACTCCGCAAACAGCATATGTATATGCTAACTAAACTTGAAAATATTAATCATAAGCAAATAGTAAAGGAGGAATTCGAAAACTAATACTTGTATTGAGTTATTAAACCCTGAAGTATGAAGAAATGGATTCTCAGGGTATAAATAATTTTCCCTTTTCACAAAGTAATCAACTTCTTTCTTAAAAAGGAAAAAAAGTTTATCTTTAGATTTATTTAAAAAATAATTAAAACGAACAATGGCGTAAAAATTGAATTGTAATAATAATTTTAAATAGACAAGTTTATATCATGAAAATATAAATCTTCAACTTACCTAATGTTTTAGTATCAAGACCATTGTCATCAGAATGTGATAGGAGTTCCCTCAAAAAGGAACACAAATAAATAAACACATTTTTTCGATGATATGTCAATCCTTGTATTATCTATAAAAAATTCAATAAACATAATATTCAAAGTTTAGAAAATATTTAAAATTATTATTTTTCAAGAGAAAATTTTTGAATAGGTAACATAATGAGCATTAAATAGCACTTAAAACATTTTTTGAAAAATCTAATTTAAAAAAAAATATCTTTATTAAAATAAATTTTCAAAGTTTAGAAGATACTCAAAACTACTGATTTTCAAGAGAAAAAATTTCAGTAGGTCACATATAATTAGGTATGAAACAGAACTTGAAAAACAATAAAAAAAATAAAAGAAATCTTCATCCCATTTTCATTTATAGCAGATTAATTGTCATGTATATAACTCATTACCTGCTTGCACTGCATAAAATTAGATGCACAATTCAGACAGGCAGTGTGCATTTCGTAAGGTATCACAGGTTCCGGGCAGGACTCAAAAAGTAAAAGCAATGCTTCTGCAACTGAATACACACTTCCAGCTGTTCATAGCATATTTTGTAAAGGAAATATAAAAATATAGAGATTTATACAAAACAATATTTTACATGATTTATAACTGGATTCAACCAAGGAATAAAAACTGAATTTAATTGTAAGATATGAATTAACTGGCAAGAAATCTATTATACATGACAACAATAATAATATCCTAGATATCATTCTCGTAGTAGACCTTCTTTCTCAATAAATTGCACTAGTTCAATACTACCTTTCCCCCTTACCAACAAGGCAATAATTTCTGCTGTGTATGGTGGATGCTACTGTTGCTCAAAGAGTGTTCAGAAGTTATATCGGAAGTTGCTTTAAATAAATGAAGTTTACAATCATTTGATATCATACTGGTAGTTAAGCGACTATTGATGATTAATGATCTTTAGCCTAATGCTGCAAATGGTATTCGATGCTAAATGTAGGGAAACATTTCCATGTAACAGTATGAGTACCAGCTGGCTCATAATGAGCCAGTCATTTGCTTGGCAAAGATAATTGGCAAACATGTCCTTTTTGTCAATTAGAAACTGGATAAGGATCTATATTAGAAATTTCTTTTAATAAGTTTAGTTGAGTAAATGAAAATCATTTAGGGAATACAAAACTCTAGATGCCGAGTTATTTATGCAAATATCATTAAAGAAAAAACTAAATAAGCTTGGGATGATCTGATAGAAAAGGATACGTAATGATTCCTGTGATCCATTATCGAGCCAGTCCCTGATATCATATATCTCAGAATGGAGACCAGGCTGAACGAAGAGATGCTTGGCCTTAGTTCCATGCCTATAGAGGTGATCGACCAGGAACCAAACTTCCTTAGGTACAGCATAAGTACCCTCACCGGAGCTAAAAGAGTCTTTCTTCTTTTCCTACAACATTATCACAGACAAAAAAAATATAATGCTTAATCAAATACGGGTATTAAATGAAAACTTTAATTGCTAAAATCCTTTTAAAATTTGAAGTTATTTCACAAATAATACATTAGTTATTAGTATTTACAATAAAAATTCAACATCAAGTTTGGTTTCTAATTTAACCAAATAGATTGAAATTAGTCTTCAATTTTACAGTAAAGGGTTTACTACTGAAATAGTATTCAATTAAATTACCTCTAAAGGTTTTTTTTTTTTTATATTCACAATCATAATAAATTATCATAACTACAATCATAACTAAATTGCATAATAAATTAATTTTTCTAAGTTAAAGAAATAAAAGTATAACAATTATTCAATTAAAACGTCTAATTAAAATTGTAGCATTAATATCATAAATGAACAATATTTTGTATGGCTCATGCATGAATAAAAAAAAATCTTTTATGAAATGTTCAATCATAATAATAAAAACCAAGAGCCACTGTTAAACAAAGATTCAAAAAACATTGCAAGATGGAATACAACCTGTAGTGATGCCAGAAGAACAAAGACATGAATTCTGAATCGATTCAAGAAAAGCATAACAGTTCAAGATACAAGAGACAGTTCAATAGTATTCAAAAGACTACGATCTTATCACTAAAAGGAATAATAAAATATAGCAAGGAATCTTTAAGACAATTAGTATCTTTGTTAAATAACCCGACTCCTTTGGATGAAGTATAAAAATAGATCCAAACTATCAAAAAGCAACAGAGAATTTCAGGACTGGAAATTCACAAGCAGGTCCAATGACACTGCTGAAGCTTTATCAGAACATTTAAAGGAAGTTTCTTCATTGAGTTCATGTCACATCCACAAACATAACACAGAAACACAAATTTGCAGATTACTCTCAAGCGACTTTGGAGGATGTAGTAAACCAATTTAGATGCACTAAAATCAACTCCAAAAAAGTACAGGGAAAAGATGGCCCCCAGTGTGAAGGGAGGAGAGTTCTTAAAAAATGACCAAAAGAGAGAAAATATATACATTGGGTACCTATAATAAAATCTGGGATTGAGGAGAGTTTTCTTCCAACTGGAGACAATCTATCATCGTACCTATATCAAAATTGACTATTACAATATTTGCAGAGAGATCAATGGTCAAATATTTAAAGACATACCCTTTAGAAATTTAAAAATAGTCAATAAAAAAAAATTATAGAAAACTCAGGAAAACATTAGAAAACAAAACAATCCAAACCAATGAAAATAAAAACATAAATAAAGTAACAAACAGGTCATAAACACAAAGTCAAGAAGTGAAAAATTTAGCTGTGCTGAATACAATAGGAAACCGTCAATTTAAACATGGATACCTTCTCAGAGGTCTCCAATCACCGATTTGTTCTAACAGTTATAAACTTCTTAACAGAGTACGCCCTATTTGATACTATTAAGCAGAAATTGAAAGTATCTCAAAAACTTTAAAAGAAACATTTTGAAGTCAACACTTATTATAGTATTTTATACACTCCTATTGTAGTATTTTGAAGAAATAAAATACTACAATAGGATATAAAGACCATAACTCAATGCTATTAACCTCAGATGTAGAGGTGAAAATAACTAAATATATAAACTGACAGGCAAAAAATTCCACCCACTTGATTTTTTCATGTTTTCATCTAAAAATATTTCTGCTTTGGATTGGTCAATTGTTTTTAATGAATAAATAGGTAATCTTTTTGTTTGTTTTCAATTAGGAATGTTAATATAGAGGCCAATAACCCTTAATCATTAATTCAATGAAATGATTCTAGATTCCAATGTTTACTTTCTATGGAATCAAAATGTTTATTAAGTATCATTAGTTCAGTGCCGTTTCTTGCAGCACATTTCTTAGTCTCAGGCTATTAATTTTTTCAATATTAAGTTCAAAAATGCCTCTTAGTGCTGAGGATGTTGCGCGTGGTGTGGCACTTATTGATAATAGACGTTCCATTAGATATGCAGCTTCCATATGAAACTTTACGAGACGCCGTCAGGCGTTTTCGGGAAACTGGTTCTTATAATAGAAGGCCCAGTTCTGGACGGCCTAGGGTAACAGAACCACTGGATGACCGGTTTTGACTTTGAGAATTTTACGAAACCGCCACCTTACCGATGTTCAAGCGATTCATCAGCTCGAAGAAGTTCGAGGTGTGCAAATTTCTGAATGTACCGCTTGGAGAAGATTAAATGAGTATGGATTAATGGCTTTTCGTCCAGTAAGAGGACCAGAAATCACAGAGTAATACGGCTGGCTTTTGCTCGAGAACACAGCCATTGGACTATGGACAAATGGAGTGCTGTACTTTTTACAGATGAGTCAAGATTCGCTCTTCAATCTCCAGACGGGCATGAAAGGGTGTGGAGAAGAAGAAACGAAAGATATACAGCCTGTAATTTTTCCCAGAGCCAATCTTTCCAACGTGGTTCCGTAATGGTGTGGGCTGGGATTTCAATGGAGCCTTGCACAGAATTGGTTGTTGTTCTTGAGGGTCTTTGACGGCCATTCGCTATGTAGATAAGATTTTGGAACCTAATGTGCTGCCTGTTCTCAACGAAATCGGCGATCGTTCTATTCTAATACACGCTCACATGTAGCCCACATAGTGCAGACGTTCCTTCAACAGAACAATATTGAGGTTTTAGCCTAGCCAGCGTGTTCTCCAGATTTGAACCCCATTGAGCATTTATGGGATAACCTCAGAAGACGAATAAGAGTGAGTGCAACACTTCCTGATATACTGCAGGACCTTGAAAGGGCTCTTCGGGAGGAATGGGTTATCCTCCAGCAAAGGGACATTTTCCGACTGGTGGAAAGTATGCCGAGGCGTCTTCAAGAAGTAGTGAAGGCAAGAGGAGGAAACACGCGCTACTAAATGATGATATAATTAATTTTTTTTTAGAATAATAATGGTTCATTTTTCAATTTTTTTTCTCTAATCTTTCTTACCCAATCACATTTTGATTATTAAAGGTAAAAAAGATTATAAAATTCCATAAATACTAAGTATTATCTACAAATACCATGTATTATATACAAATACAACTTTTTTTACAAGTGGCAGAAATATTTTTAGATGAAAACATGAAAAAATCAAGTGAATCAGGGTGGAATTTTTTGCCTGTCAGTGTATATAATATGTACTGTTGTTATATTCAATCATGTAGGAATTTTAATGTTATTCATTAAATTAATAACTGAACTATGAAAGATTGTAGACTAACCTTGTCAATAATAGAACCAAGTGATATTTCTCTGATGGGCTCTTTAATAGATGCTAATGTTTCTAAAGATGTCCCGAAACAACTTCTTTCATAATTTCCTAAAAATAATTAATTAATTAAGGCTCATAACAACATGCAATTTTCACACTATTCAATTTTTAGAATTATAATATTTTTGCTTATTAATTTTAGTGGAACTCCAAAAACTTCTGAGCACATAAAATAAAAATAAAGCACAAGAAAATAACATAAAAATAGATAAAGCAAAAGCAATGATAAAACTTTTAAAATGAAGTAGTTCTGAACACAGGCGGATCTACGGGGAGAGGAGAGGGGAGCTTTCGGGCTGAAGCCCCCCCAAAAATGGTAAAATATAACCATGTTTTACAGAAAAAAATATTATAAACTATCTGTTGAAGTATTCTTGTTCGTTTAATTACATTTAATGGGACTTCAAGAACCACTTAAACACTATTTCATATAGGTAGTTAATTTCTTTTTTTTTTTAAATTAAATTACTAGTTGACTTCCATGTTATCTCAAGCATAAAATAAAATAGTATTTCAATAGACAGATTTCTTTGAAATATGTTTTATAATATGAGTCATTTATTTTCAAATTACTTATTATAATTAGATATTTTAATGAATCTGTACAATACCTGGGCTCTTCAATTTATATGGCGCAAAATTAGACACTTTTAAAATATTTCTCTACTCAAATAAAATGCTATTTATCTTATAATTAAAATATTTTATTATAAGAACATTGCATTCAGGACGTTTTAAAACAACAAAAAAATCCTGATGACCAGTATTATTAAATAATTTATTTTTTGATTTCAATTTTTGATATTGATAAATTTTCAGAAATTCAAACATTTATTGAATTTTATTGAAAAAAAAGAATTCCAAAAAATTGTAGTAAGGAATTGCGTAAATGTGATTCCCAAAAATTTTGTTAATTCCTAATTATAATCACAATAATTATTATTTCAGGAACCACGAAAAATCATATTTTATATTCAATTGTAATATCAAAACAAATGTTATTAAGAAATAAACTAAGAAATTCTTTATTTGGAACACATATTCCTGAGAATCACTATTTCAATAATTAAGAACCACTGAAACTTAATTAAATAGGGTTGTTTTTGGAACAAATTAAACTTCAACGCTGGTTTTTGGGACCCAATCGGGGCTGTTTGAAAAAAAAATTGGTATAAAATTCAAGAGGGAAAAATCAAGAATTAACTATATAATCAATTTATTTTTTATTTTCATTAGAATAAAAAGATTTAAAAAGCTTATGATGAATTACTTTTAAAAAAAGTTAAGAAATACATGTATCATTATATTCTTTGAAAAAAAAATTAGTAATAATAATAAAAATTGAATCTATATTATGGAACACCATCTGGATGGATCAGTTTTACTAACTATGAAACAATTTTATCAATCACAAAATAACTGAAAACTTCAAAACAAGATATAATTAATATTCTTTAGAAAAAAATATTTTTCATTTTGCTATGGCTTAAGGCACAGTTTGGAATGAAATCAACACATGATCTAGGAATATTCTAGAAAATAAAGTTCAAGAAAAATCAGCTTGTTTTTATGCCATTTTTTAAAAAATGGATTTAGGTCTGTTTAAAAAAAAAAAATGCACTGTCAGATAGATTGGTGATTCTATAAAAAATAAGCAATGCATATTATAATTAGAAAAATACCAAAATATATTAGTAAACATTTTAAGAATTTGATCAGTAGTAGTCTTAGAAGCCGTAATATACAAGTAAAAAAATTCAATCAGACATTCTTAAATATTATTTAATAAATGGTCTTCACACAAGCCCTAAGAATCCAAATGGCAATGCTATAACAAAAATCTAATCTTACATTCTATATCAATGTCCTAGAAAACCAATCCATGGTTGATTAGATGGTAATTATGAATTAAATAAATTTATAAATCTACTAATGCTTTGGAAATGTAATTACCAGAAACTGTGATAAAAATGTCCTTTCCACCTTCAAGATGAAGAACCAATATATCATAGAGCTGGTCCTGGCCTGAATTTAGTTTATATGCCGATTTCTTGTCGACCCGAACCTCTACCTTAACTTCACACTTCTCACCTCACGATGATAGAAAGAAAGGCATTAATAAAAAACTATAACTCAGCACAAGTCAAAACCAAGATAAATTTTCAAAATTTCAAATTATGAGATAAATTCTAAAAAATTAGTACCTGGTATAACGTCACCAAGATAGGGCTCAATGTTAAGCCAATCCTTGCAATAGTAGGGGTCATCAAGCTTTTTGATAAATTCAAATTTAACCGGAACCTAAGCAAACAAATATATAAAAGCCATAAATTTCAAACTGTTCCGATTCTCTATTAAATGAAATATATTCATTATCATTATATAAAATATTTATTATAACCTTTATAATTTTGTAACTTACTTATTTTGTAATTATTAATTTTTTGTCAAACAAATAAAACTAATCTTATACATTTTCATTGTTCTTAAGATACTAGAATAAGTGCTATAGGATAAAATGTACTTTATTTCTTTTCTTAACATATCTTATTGAAATTAATTTTCGATCAAACAAGTTTTTACGAAGACAAAATTAAAAAACATCCTTTTAAAATTACCTCAAAAACAATTTTTAATGTTATATAAATAGATATTCGGTGTTTTGGACTTGAGGAAAAATAGTGATTTATAAAATGCATCATCCAATAACAATTAAATTATTAATGTATGAAACATATAGATATCTTACCTGACCAGTATTTGCAATAATAAGGTTTTTAGACTGAGGTACTAAGAACTGAACAGTATCAAATGTGATCTCAGTTGTCTCTACAGTAACCTGTGGTAAGAACTCATTCTCTAATTTGTCCAATTTCTTCATCACTTCTTCATGTATCTTCCTGTACTTGACGGCATCGATGATTCTAACCTATTACACAAATATAACAACTATTGAACTAGGATAAAGGTCACAGTTGAACAGTTAGTCTTCAACAAACACTGGGAAAGTGTGAGTCAGGAGCATGTCATCAGAACTGTTGAATAATTCATAGCTATACACATCATAAAAAATTATATTATGCTATAACAATATACTAAGTACCTAGCAGAACATGGCAAGACACAATACATCATTTTCTTTATTTAAGATACAATTTCATAATACTTGTTTCATAGTTTAATTTAGGAAGGTATCAAATCTATGTCCAGTCTTTTTCTCAAAACTAACTAATCCTTAAGTTTAAAAATACATTAATCAATACAAAAAAAACGGTAGTGCTATTGCTATTGCTTAGTGAATGGATTAAATGTTCTAAAGAATATTAAATGTAAGTGGTAATAAAAATAAGAATAAATATTAAAAACAAATTAAATTATTAAATGACACGTATGGTGGCCTCAAATGATAACATAGCTGACTTTTTGTCCAAATTTATGGTTTATTTTTTTAAATCAAATAAAACTCTCTTATCTGATAACTCTGTGGCTTAAACATTAACAGTAATAGATATTATGTGGATTTAGAGGATTTCAGACAATTTTTAAGCCACTGAGCTACAAAATATGAAATTCAAACCAAATACAATATAAAATAAATAAATTACTACAAAAAAAAAAAAAAAACAGATTTGAGGTTTAACACGTGAAGTCATCAATTTAATATAAATATCTGTATTACATTGACCATTTGAAAATAAGTAGGAATGTAAGTGAAAGGATTCCTTTAACATTGATACTTTAAATTACTTTTATTGTTACTTATATCAACAAGAAGTGTTTTTGTCAATAAGTATAATTCAATAAGTGTTTAGAAGTTTGTTGATATTCACTCTTATAAATTATTGAAGGAAGCTAATCGACTGTTCTACATATCATGGGTGATAAATATTTAGGACACAGTCATCATAATTTTTTTTTTATTATTATTATAATAAAAAAAATTATAATGAATATAAAAAATTTAAGAATGAAAAAATATTCTGTTTTAAGTTAACTTTAAACAACGGATAGGCAGCAGATTTTATAAGAAAAAAAGAAAGAAAGAATTGCTAGCTTGAGCTAATCGGTCGTTTTCAACATACCAATTAAGCAGGAAGAATGGATGTTTCACAGTAAGTAGTTTTGTGAACTTTAACTGTAGTTTGGTCAAAGGGAAACAGGGAGTGTATTTAGAAGTTAGAAATTGTTATTGTTTTTCTATTATGAGTTACTGATCCAAAATTAAATACATATTTTTTATTTTATATATAAATAGAATAATTTAATCTAGTAGAAGGATCATGCTTAATCCTGACTCCCCTATGAGTCCTAAAGACTTGAATCATGAATCCAATTGCTGTAAAACTAGTAATAATATAAGATAAATAAATGTTTCAGGCTAAGTTGTATGAATTTTCAATTTTATTTTACAATAATATTACATTAACTTGGAAAAGATTTTTGTTTGGATTTAGAATAGAATATATCAAGTTATAGAAAGCTGAGAACAAACCTTAGCATCAAACAATGAGCTGACAGGCTTATGATCACTGATTTTTAAAAAAGGATGGCTTCTATACTCTATCTGCTCAATTGATTCTCCCTTCCACAAGATCCTATCACACCAGGCAGGAGCTCTATTCTTCTCACTGAATATTTTTTAATAAAAATTAGTTTTGTATAATATTCCTTTATCAATTAGAGTAGTAACATTATAAAAAGTATTCAGCTTAAACAAAAATTTTAATTTTAACAATTTCATAAAACCTTTTAAATTAAAGAAAAAAAAAATTAAAATGTCCATTGCCCACTTTTTTTATAATCCGCTACAACCAAAAATTTGTTCTTAAATAATTGCTATCTCTATTTAATTTCATCTGACTCATCCAAGAATAACTGTTATAATCACAAAAAGTTAACAATTTGACAATTAAAATTGTATATTTGTGATATATTTAAATTCTTCGAATCAAAATAGATTAAATATATTTGGTTTCATACTAAAAAAAAAACAAAGATCCCAATACATCACAGGTAGTAAGGCATAAAATTACATCTCAACTTTAAGGCGTTATTGTTTGGAGAGTTTTGTACCAAAAATAGCCAGGTTGAAAATCAACAGGCATTTCCTAACCAAACCTTTTACCATTCTTTTTGTTGCCAGAGAATGCAATGTTTGAGCCACAATAATACGATGGAAATTCATTATAGATCTCTACAAAGTGATAAGAACACATGCTTAGCATATTATATTGTTATTCAAAAATACAATTGGTTACCAACGCTGAGTGCTATCTTACAATGATTAAACATTTTTTAGATGACAACTGAATTGAAGTATCACAAGTGTGGCATTACTTCATAAAGTAGTTTATGAAATTCAGTAACTTTTTCGGGAGTAATATTCCATAGTTGCTTGATTTTCTAATTTGAAGAAATCACATCACAGGGAGTAAATGTTATTGTTAAGCAATTTAAAATAATAACCTACTTAATTAAAAGTGAAGGTTTTTAAAGCAATATATTCCAACAATATAAATTATATATTAATTTAAGTTACTTAATATAATTTTGGATTCTGATTTAAAAATAATACATTACCTGGAATCCCAATTGTCAGTACCAGTATCGTACTTGTAGGTTGGCTTAAATGTGATGCTGCCCTCTTTAAATCCAACAAATACCGTTTGGGCACGGCATTGTTTGATAAGCTGATCATATTCAAGAACTTTCTGGAAAGAATCTCGCTCAACGCAATCTTTAACGTATTTTGGATCGATTTCAGTGATTCTATAGTTCAAGTCCCCCAACCAATAAATATGACTAAAAAAATTAAGTTTGTGTTACTTCAATAATACAAAATTTGTAACTTGAGATTAAAAATTAACCTACATATACTCATTTTTGTATTCATGAGGAGTTATTTATAAAGATAAAGTAGTTATTAAATTTTTTTTAATTCGCTAAAGCTTTTAAGTAAATAATTATCTTCTAAAAAAAAATCACTTAAATTAATATACAGTAATAATAATTTATTTATCTAAAAAAAATACACAATTTATATCTCTTAATCAATCTTCTCAGGATAAATATTATCAATATAAAAAAAAATATTACAACCATTAAGTCTAAGGAAACAGGTAGAAGGTGGTTGAACAAAAAAACAAAAACTGTAAAACAAATTACACAGACAAATAGTTGTGACTCACTCGTGATCCTTGATGGTCTTGGGAGGATGGTGAGAAGAGAAACACATCCTGGAATATATGTCCCGGTAGTCTTGGTTCCGACGTTCGTACTCCTCAACATGAGCAGCTAAATGAGCATTGACGAAGCATATAGATGTGCTATGAAAATCCAGCCTCACTCCTACTCCTCCTTTGTTACCCTGAGATTAATTATTAACATTTTTATAATATTAAAGTTTAAATAACCAAACAACATAAGCAGTTAAGACATAGGTTTTCAAACAATGATTCACAAATACTCATGGGTAGACATTAACCAGAGTGGGAAGTCCACAAAAGAATTTCAACATTAATTTTCATCACCTATACATAAAAATGTTCTAGAGGTACATCCAAACTTATTCTGACCAGAGGGGGAAGGTTGAGATTCATTCCGTGGGACTGCCACGAAATAAATTTTAACCCGTCCAGACCAGATTCAAACCGGCATCGCTAGAGAATGTTAAAGTTTATGTTTTAACACGCTCAGCCACCTCTAGTTGTTTCAGTTCATATTAGTAAGCTATTTGAGTCACTGATAAAAATAAAAGATAAAATGTTATAATTAAAATTGTAACATATATCTCACCATTTTCCCCATGATGCCAGTACCAACAGTATCACAAGCTACTCCGGTAACATATTGCCTGAGTTTCTCTTGGACAAAAACAACGAGCATCATCCCAACAAGACGAACAAGTTTTACACGAGTGTATTTAGCTCCATTATGTAGACCACTTACAACAGCTTTGCTGAAATTAATTGAGTATTTATTAAATTAAAAAAATTAATATATGCCTCAATGTCCCTAAAACAGATAAGTCTACTGAATCAGAGGTTGCTAAATTGGTTGTGAGGATTAACGCAAATGATTGTAAACAAAATTTTAATGAATTGAATGATTGTAAAAGTGATAGTTGATTACTTAGTAATTTTTGAAAGGATTTTTTATTTGAACTATATAGGACTTAGATAGGTCTATCTTGTCACATCTTTATATCTCCCTTAATTTTTAGGAAGAGTAAGTCCCGTTCGTATTTAAAAAAAAATCACATTTATTACAAGAATTATTTAGGCACATTTTTTTAAACATAAAACTTGTTTCATCTACTAGTATTCATAAAAAATTTTGTCCTCAGGATTATCAGAATAGGTTGTAAGAAAAACGGTTTGTATGAGACCATGAGATGTGAACTACTCAACTCTCTACCTCCATTCAATAAAATTGTTTAGAAGAGAGCAAAAACTTATGTTAAGCTATAGAGTTTAGCCACAATTTCTGAAAGGATCAGTTAATAGAGATTTTAGCCTCTTCTTTTTGGTAATAAACGCATTTGAGTAAAAACAATAATTTTTGTTTCAATTAAAAAAAAAAATGGAAGTAGAGAGTTTTGTGACTCATTACATATTTATTATTCTATTATTACATATTTATTATAAGGAAAACTTAATTTTAATTGACTAATTTATTTGATGGAACAACTGCTTTAGGTACGTACTACCACTCATTTTCTCTAGGAGTATCATTAAACAGAAACGCTTCGGTGGATAGGTCAAGCTCTTGAAAGCCAATAGCATAAATGTCAGGAGGATCCACATCGCAGGAGAGCCATTCGGTAAGATCAGCTGTAGGTGATTGTCCATTTACATTCCAGGTGCCAACGAATATCCTGTAAATTGTGCATAATCTTAAATAAAAGTGTCTCCTGATTAAGAAAGAACATACAGAATAAAAGATTTTTGCTTAAAATAACAATAAGTAAAATTGTATCCACAACCAAAAATTCAATATATATATATATATATATATATATATATATATACTGATTTATTGTCTATTATATTATAACTAATACCGTCTCTTTATAACAGTCCATTACGAAATCAATGTAAGATAAGGAGTCCTTCCTTCAAATTAAAGAAAAGACAGCAAAAGAATTTAAGTACTAAGTCCCAGTCTCTCAAAGAGGAAGAAGATTATATAAGGATGTTTATGTAATAAATAAATAAGTATATATATATTGTAATGTCAACATTACATAATGTTTTTGAATATTGGCGCGAAGGTGGTAACATCATGAACTACTGACAGGAAGTACAGATGGTGGGGGAAGCAAGTCTCGTAGACAGATAGGGCAGAAGGTGACCGGTCAGCGAGTGAAGAGGACATAGGTTAAGGAGAAGGTAGCCAGCCGGCTAGGAACCAGGATCTGTGAGAAGATGTTGGTTCCTAAGTAGTGAGTGTCAACAGTAGAAGGTTGTAGGAGAGAAGTAGCTGCACCACAGTGAGTGAAGAATATATAAATGGACAGATCGAAAGCGCGCCAAGAATATAGACCGACAAATTTAATGGAAACCCATAAAAGTGTTTAATAATTAATTTATGCTTTTATATAGTATAAATGAGGATGTACGTTAGTTGTCTAAACCCAACCTGGGAATTTATATATGTGTGAGAAATAAATGTTATATTGAAAAAGAAACTGGTTGTTTAATTTTGGAGTGAACGAGAACATTACAATATATATATATATATATATATATAAACAGAAAATAACTTTTGTGCAGTACAGTATAGTATAAATGAGGATGTACGTTAGTTGTCTAAACCCAACCTGGGAATTTATATATGTGTGAGAAATAAATGTTATATTGAAAAAGAAACTGGTTGTTTAATTTTGGAGTGAACGAGAACATTACAATATATATATATATATATATATATATATATATATATATATATATATATATATATAAACAGAAAATAACTTAAATGGTTTAAACAGTTAAACATGAATCCTGAACAAAAGGTTCTTGATAAAGAGTTGTTTTTAAATCTATTCATTGTATTTTAAATTTTATTTTATTTTATAAGAAAATAAGTATATTTAACTGTTCTATTTCTCTCCAAGAAGGCATTTTCTATAACATCTCTAGTTCCATCAGCAATATTTTAGTCAGTGATAGATCTGATTAACATGATAAAATTGTGAAATCAAATTTTCAAGTCTTGAATTTGATTTATTTCAAAACAGCATGAAAAGCAAAGCTACCCTCATTCCAAGAATTTAAATTTTCATACATTCACTAGACCTATTATTGAAAGATTAATAGTTGTCTTGAGTTGAAAAAAAATAATGTCTCGAAATATTCTTTATTCCTAAATTTGTAAACTTTTTTACATAGAAATTACGATGTCAAACATTATAGATCTTATAATCATAATCATTATTACCAGTGATGACTTGATTAATTAATTCATTTATTAATTCAGCAAACAGGAAATGTTCGTTAAAATAAAGTTATCTTTTTCAAAACTCCCAACATCATGAATACCTGAATGACTGCTTATACATATACTGGTCTTCTTTTTTGGACATCATATATCGAATGACACTTTCCCGAGCAGCTATTGGTGTTGACCCTTTGGCAATGCTTTCTCGCGGGAGTGAAAGACTGTCTGGGCTGTCAACTACCTGTAATAGCAAAGATGATGTCGACATTCAATAACAATACTTCAGATAGATTTTAAAATAATAAGTTTTGATTTGTTACAAAGTTTTATTTTTCATTTGTAGATGGTTCATCAGCTCTGGCAAATGATGGATGATTTTGGAAAAAAAAAAAAAAAAAAAAAGGTAAACGTCTTAGAAGCCTGCTAATGATTTCTATATAATAAAGGAATACAAAACAATAATTAATTGTAAAATTGTTTGAAAATTATTTTATACGGATTAAAAAAAAATATTTCTTAAAAAAAATGTATTATTAGAATTAATTGTATCATATTTTTAATAAATGATAATTTCTGAATAAATAAGTTGTTATGATTAAAATAAATTTTGAACATTTTGATTTTAAACATTACTGGACACATAAATTCTAGAAAGCTTTTTTATTGTTCTAAATGATATTAAATTACAAAGTTTTCACAAACTCACCGAATCTTGAACTTCTTCTTTCAAGCCATTATCACTACAATCGTGTCTTATTACAGGAGGGTACCTATTGAGCCAGTTATATTCTAGTGGTCCTGATTTCCTGACTACATCTGAAAATTATTAAATAGATTATTTTTCAACACAATTGAACAATAACTAAGACCATGGGTAGGAATAATGTCTAGTATAATCTCATTATAACAAGCCCAGGTCTACATAAATTAATAATTATATAGAATGAGCTACTAAAGCACAAATATTATTTCAAACAATCCATGAAATGTGCTTAATGAAGGAACTCCTTTTTTTTTTCTTAAATAATTTTTGGTTTATATTTTTTAATAAATTGACCTTAAACCATGGAAAGTAGATATTTTTCGGGAAGGGGAGAGGAAAGGAATGTACCATTCACTTAATAGTTTCTATTAGCAAATAGTAAATCACAAAATTTGAATATTCTTTTTTTTTATATATTTCTGAATGGCATATTTGAATATCTCTGAGAAAGCTGTGGGATGTAAAGTCTTAGTATAGACTCAAGCAGAGTTTAAGACTTATCAAAAAGCTTCAGCTGAAGTGATCAGAGGCCTTATTTTTACTGACTAGTTGAAGATGGTTCTGTGTTTATTTTTTTTCAATTTCAAGTAACGGTATTGAGGATCTTTTTAACACTGTGAGGATCTAAGGCTAATATATGGATTTGGTATTTAAATTAAAAAAATTATAATCATGTATATGAATTGCATTATTTTTACACCTTAAATTGAGGTATATACAACAAGAAGTACAAAATCCAAAATAAGAGGCTGAATATCAATTACATTGTGGAGTATTTTTATCAACTAAACATAAAACAAAAAGGTTCTTGCTCTTATCAGTAAGTCCTTCCTGTATATACTGATAGTCTCTAGAAGCTGTAATTTATGAAATTACTTCCCTACATTCAGACAAAAAATATTTTAGAAGGGTCAGATTCTTGGAATAATATCTTTAAATAGCAGCTGGTATTGGACAGACAGTTATATTGTTGGTTACAAGTTGTTGTATTTGTTAACGCATTAATAATAACATGTAATTTAATTAATTCTTACAGGTTTGTTTTCATTTATTTATATTGTTCTTATTAATGTATTCTATTATTTAATGCCACTCTAATTCTTACAGATTCCTAAAATCAGTTGTTAATAAACCAAGTTAAAAATAAAATTACATAGTATTGAGTAAAGTCATATTAGTCAGTGATACGTCTGGCTAATTCGATAAAATAGTGGAATCAAATTTTTAAGTCTTGAAATTAATTTATTTCAAAACGGCATGAAAAGCATAGCCAACCTCATTCAAATTTCCATAAATTCACTAGGCATATTATTAAGAGAGTAAAGAACAAAAGTGCAAACAATGGACAGAACAAACAAATCCAAAATATTTGTACATATTATTAAGGTAGACGAAGATAATTATGACCAGGTGGAAATTCCAGAAAACAAACCTGTAAGAATTAATTAAATTACATGTTATTATTTATGCATTAACAAACACAACAACTTCTAACCAATAATATCTGTCTGTCAAATACTAGCTAGTGTTTACATATCTATGAACGATATACTAAATAGAGCTTAGTACGTAATTGCATGTTTTTGTGCTTGATTATTCTCGATGTTAGTGTAGAGATCTTCATAAAGAATGTCAATAGCAATAAATGTTTAAAATTTTATTTTGCATTTTTTTTTTAGATTTCAGAAATAATTATATATATCTATGTATTTGAGTAAACATTGGGTACATGAGTTTACATCTTTTATTTGTTGATGAAGATCAGATAATAATAATAAAAATGATGAGTTCCAAATTTTTCTGATGTATATTTGTAAAGGTAATTAGTGTCAAAGAAAAGCAAAGGGGGCAGTGTTACGTTACGAGAATGGAGACAAAGCTACGTCATGTCCTGCCAGTGCCTATCTATTTCCAGCTAGGAAATATTGTTTAATTTTTTCTCTCACCTTGTCACCTTAAAATAAAAATATCTAGTTTAAAAAGTATTTTATTCATCCATTCATTCATTGTTGGGCTCTCTAGTCCTTGAAGAACCATGACCTCTGCTAAAGTCTTCTTCCACATTACACCCATCTCCTTCAGGTTACCTTCCACTTTGTCCAATCGCCTGAGCCGAGGCTTTCCCCGCCTTCTTCCATCTGCCGGCTTTCCATAGAGGAGTTTTCTCGGCATTCTTGTGTAGTCCATCCTTTCCATATGCTCCATATAACCATCACAATCTATTGAGTTGAATGACTCTAACAATATCATGTTCACCGTATAGCTCTTTTAGCTCAAAGTTAGACCTAATTCTCCATTGATCCTCCACTTTGATTGGCCCATAAATTTTTTGGAGTACTTTTCTTTCCAATCATGGAACATCCTTTTGCTTTCTTTATAGTCATGGACCATGTCACGTTTCCATATGTCACAACAGGCCTCAGAATAGTTTTATATATTAGTTTTCGTCTTTCTTGACATTTTTGAGCTGGGAGATGATTTCAGTAATTTCTTCCATATCTGGAGGGAGGAATCTCTGTCTCATCCAAGTTCTCCACTTCACATAATGCACAGCTTATCACCATTCTCTCATTTTCTCAGCCCTATCTACATTCCTTCGTCCATCCAATATTTCTTGATACCTCTTCCTTACGCCTTCTGTTTTTACTATTTCTGAAGCATAGAATGATCTCTTTTCAATGTTTTGCAAAGGTTTTCAAGCCAATCTCTCACTACAATTGACCAATACCAATACTAAACTACATGCTCCTCTGTAGCTTCACACATCTGAGGTGTGTGATGCGTGTCTTGTGTCTACCAGTATATGGTCTACAAGTATTTTATTACCTTTGATAAATGTATGTTTATGAAGTAGAGCACAAAGATACTTTCACAGTATCGTTTTTGCAGCTGTATAAGTCAAGAAACAGCGGACTCAGGCTCATCCCCGGTTCCCACCATACCTCTCAGACCCACTATCACTTCACGTTTATAGTGATATATGAACTTTTCTATAACCATTTTAAAAGTGTGATCTGAATTTTATATGTTTTTTTATCAGATAAATTCTAGCACAGCTCAAATTTACATGATTTTTTATAAACAAGTACCCAATTCACAATTTTGAAAACTTATTTAATTTAGTTTTAATATTTACCATCCTCATTTATTAAAAAATATATTTTTATGTATCGAATATTTGACAGTTGACCATTTCATTATAAAGGAAGGAGATGGTCCGGGGTGGCAGTCATAAATAGGCTAAATAGTGTTAAAACTATTTTATTAAAAGCCAACATTTCAACCCGACTTTGCAGGTCTTCTTCAGGGCTAGAACGGAAAAGATACAAAAAGGAGTTTGTATCTGGCCGTTGTTGGCCCTGTGGTCTTTTTGTATCTTGTCCGTTCTAGCCGTGAAGAAGACCTGCAAAGTCGGGTCGAAACGTTAATAAAATAGTTTTATCACTATTTATGACTGCCACCCCGGACCATCTCCTTCCTTCATTTTTATGTATCATTTTTTTTATTTAAAAAAATTTCAAAAGAGAAAATGCATCTCTCAATGATGAAAAATTTTACTATCCATGGTCATTAGGAGAGATTTATATTGCTAAACGAGTCTATATACTTTTTCTAAGGAAACGATCCAGAATTCAGGTCAGGAGATTTAAACATTATTTACTGAGAGAGGTGTCCTTTTGGAGATATTTAATAATTAGATGTTAGAAGCAAAATAATAGATCAATTGAGTAGAAAATGCTTCATATTCCAAAATTTAAAATTAATTAAATATATCAAACAACTTATCTTTGCTTAACTTACTGTCAACAGCTTTGTACAGCTCACCAACAAATGCATTGGATTTTGAACTAGGCATCATTTCAAAAAGCAATTTAGATTTATTTGAACTCACACTCAAATATAAATCATGTCCATCCTCATGCTGAGTTTCAGTATCTAAAAAAAAAATAAAAAATAAAATGAATAAATGTAAAATAATACATGAATTTAATATCTAACTAATACAAAATGATTGACTAAAAATTTGTATTCTTCTCATGAGGAATTAGACAAAATTATCAAGATGACTAAAAAAATTGAACCATTACATTATCTACTCACTGAAAATAATTGAATAAAAATAGTAATATTTAGAAAAAAAAGCTGCAGAGCTCTGTCATTAAAGTTGTATTTCTTATCTCACTCACTCAATCAACAAAATAATTTTTAATCTTCAACTCCATTATGAGGGGCTGTAGAGGAGCCCGAATCCTTAAAAAGTATGAAAAAAAATTGGAGTAGGCAGAAGAAAAAAAATTGAGACCTTCAAAAAATGCTTATTTAACGCCAACTAAAACCATTATCAAATTTTCAACCATTTAACTTTATTTTGAGATGTACCTGTAGAGTTAAACAAGTCTTTAAAACCACAAAAAAAAAGTTGGACAGGACTGAATTTAAACATCATTTTTAAGGTATTGTTATATTTAGAAATAATTATATATACAGCAATCCATGAAGCCCCCATAAATGCACAACTCCCTCCCCTCATTAACTTCAATTAAGTTCAAAAGTGCATCAAGATTTTTTTTATTTAGTTTTTAGTCATATCTAAAATTTTCATCAAGTTTTCTATTACATCTAAGATCAACCTCCCCATCCTATCCTCTTACATATGATTTTATAAAAATTCTATGTACTCATGATTTTAATTTATATATTTTATTAGATTTTGGGATATAAAAGCTCCTCTTTTGCTCTTTATAACCCTCTTACTTATAATTAATATTTATTTCCACTATATCCATATTTATTTATTTTATCACTAGTATTTAGTTTTTATATCTCTTGAATAAGTGTTGGCTGAATTATCAGGTCAGATTAAACCAAAAAAAAAAAAAATTACAATGTATAATATTTTTGATTTAAATGTCCTTCCCAAAATTTAAAGACAATATTACAATAATTTTAAACGTTGAAATAATTTTAATCTTTAAGGTGAACCTGGGAAGTGTACTACTAATGTCCTTCATGATATATCCTCTTACACTCAGTCAAGATCAAGATTAAGATTAAGTATGGTCTTCACAAGAAGCCAACACTCAACTCACCACTCATTGATAATCACAATAACGATGACAGAAAATAATTACCTAGTTCAAATTTGAAATTGCTATCAATAGGAACAATTCCTTCAACTGAAACATCGGCAGGAGATATGGGAGGTACTCTAGTTGATGTAAGGACGAAGAATGCACTTGAGCCGCTTTTTGAAATTATAGCCAGATACCTGGTCGTTCGAACCCATCCTTGCATTTTGCTTACTTCCAAGCACTAGCACCAAATTAAGGAATAGAAATCTTTGAAAGGCATTATTTTCATAAAAACACACATATTGTGATAATAATAATAAAAATAAAAGGTCTAATTTTATCAAAATTTAATAAAATTGCAATGTAACACATCACAATTCATATATCTTCTAGAATAAGGATACAGCCAGGACAGTTTCTCCTGTAAAACCACTTTGAACTAAAGATAATAAATCTACAGAGCCCATGTTTAATTTTAATAAATTTATTTAAAATAAAAAAAACATCTTATAAATTTATATGCTTTAGACCAACTAAAACCACTGGAAAATCATACTTAAAACTGAAAGCAGATAAGAATTTGTAATTAAACTAAGAAACCTAAATGAAACCTCCAATCTGTTTACTGTGAATTGGGTGGGTTAGTGTTTGGTACAAGTTTGAACTAAATATGGATTACAATTTTTTCAAATGTTTCAATCATTTTTATTAGTAGCTTTTGTATTCATATCATAAAAGTTTACTTATTAGGTAGTCCTATGACAGGAAATCTAATAAGCATTTGAATTAACAAAAAAAAAAAAGAGGATAATTCACATTTGTAAACTTTAATTCATACTAGATTCATTGAATTTAAACAGTGGAAAATCTCGAATGTAGGCCACTTAAAAACAACAATTGTGCGCCAAAAGCAGATAAAAGCTGAGGGTATTGGATGAGTGGTGGGGAATAGTTTGGGTGTGATTTGTTTGTGTTACTGACATGAATCAATTTCCTGTGGGATTTTTAATCGGCGTAGCCACTTCATCCTACCAAGTTGAAGGTGCTTGGGACTTTGGAGGTACTCTAACAAAGCTGTTTTAAGTCAATAATCTATAGCTTAATATTTGGCCTTAAAAACGAGAATCTTCACCGCTGTCAATATTAGGTTCTATACTTTAACTTTGCTCTTGGTCAAGGCTAATACTATTACGCAATAGATCGGGGTATCGCTTAATTGCCGAACAAGTGCATACCCTCATAAATTGAGATATATATCGTCATCTGTTGCAAAAAGTCAATAAATACAATTTTGATGGAACTGAACTTTTAAAGTACATTTTGTGAATTTCGAATTATAATCAAAATTAAGAAGTACATCAAAATGGCTTATTCCTTTTTATTAATCAAACATATTTACATTAAGGAGTTAATAAAAAACAATTACTGGGGTGTTTGATGAGTTTTTATCTGTGAAATGAGAACATTGTTTTTTATGAAATGTTACTTAATGACTTTTAGCAATAAAGCCACGCATAAGGAAGGGAAAAGAAGGCTTTCGGGCTGAAGCTACTTCAAAATGGAAGAAGTAATTATCGTTAACTGTATGAACTAAAAAAAAGTTTCGGGCTGAAGCCACAGCAAAATGAAATCCTGGATCCGCTAATGTATCTAGTGAATGTAAAAGTAGTACTTTTTTAAATTACTTAGATGTACTTTAATTAATTTAAAAAAAAAATGCTCTAAGGACCACTTAAACATGATTTCTTGAAGTGCGTTTAGACATTTCACAAACAATGGAAAACCGAAATATTTAAAGTTTTTTCCTATGCAAGTGTTTGTATATCTTGTTCTTAATGTTTTCCGTTTGCTGTCGGTAACAAGAGAAATAAATAAAAAGTTAGGCTTGGTGCTAATGTCGCAATTACTTTTATGTTAGATTATTTTTTTCCATTATGTGTGAAATGTCTAAACACACCTTCATGGTTTGTTTCTCTTTCTTCCGGAATAATTGTCGTTCATTCATATATATATATATATATATATATATATATATATATATATATATATATACATTAAAAAAAAGTAAATAAGCCCCTCCCTCAAAAATGAAACTCTGGATCTATTATACGTGTGTGTATATATATATATATATATATATATATATATATATATATATATATATATATATATATATATATAATGTTTTTTTAATCTGTATTGTTTTATTACTACTCATTCTAGTTTTATCTTCTTCATAAAAAAATATTTACTCCCACATTGCTTCGTCGGTTAGTCAAAATTGTGCTCACATTGTAGCTCTCTGTGGTCCCGTCTGGTATTCAGAAGAAATATTTTTTTAGTGGAAAACAAAGATGATACTCGTTTTTCACACCCTAAAAATTCTTAATTAAGAAAATTTATAGCAGTCGGAAAAGTAAATTTTTTCTGCACGAAATCTTTGTCTAGACTGAACGCACCGCCTGACGTTTTCGACTACTGCAGCACTTACTAGACAAACGCTCTAAGCTCGCAATCAATTACAAACGACTCACATATATAACAATAATAAGACCTATTTGGACTTACGGAATTAAGCTTTGTGGCTCCACTAAACCATCGAATTCCTCTCGTATCCAATCCTTACAATCCAAAATCCTTCGTAAAATCCTCAACGCTCCTTCCTTTGTCACAAATAAAATCATCCATAAAGACCTTAATGTTCTATATGTTTCCGATTTGGCCCAATCCAGATACCTATCCTTCCATAACAAACTGCAGAACCATCCGAATCCTCTCGTTTTAAACCTTGCTTCCTCCTCGATCCCTGATAATCCTCCGAGGCGTCTGAAAAGAAGATGGCCTCGGGACCTTCTAATATAGAACTTTAATTTGAATTCTACCAATGGGTAGTTTCTCTTCATGTTGTACATGTCATGTTACCAATGTCACATTTACTTATTGTATTTTCCATGTAATACAGTTGTAATTTTCAATAAAATAAAATAAATTAAAAAAAAAAAGACTAAACCCTTCGAAATTTTGTCGACAACCAAAAAAATTTTGATAAATTTAGAACGGCTTCACCTACACACAGAAAGATTATTAGGGATTAAGGGCTCAATATGCTGCACGTAAGGGTACTAAAAAGGTCTCCGTAAACAAATTAGAACCAAAGATATAAAATTAAAATCGTCGAGAAGTTTTTCTCAATTTCTAGTTTTAAAAGGAATGAAATCTAAAAGTCATCGATGCGGTTTGGAAGGGCAGTAATTCAGCTTCTCTAAAAACAAAACTAGCTTGCTTTTTCATAACAAAAATTTACTTAACCAATTTACTGGAAGCGTTTTGGTTTTTGTAATTTGTGATAAATTATAAATCATTTAATACAATAATCAATATTTTTTCTTATACTGTAAAAAAAGTCTGTTCATGTATATTAACCTAAAAATCCGGACAAAGCAAAGGCAAAAATAAATAACATAAATTTTATTTGAAATTATATAAAATATTTTTTTCTCTTTTAGGGCCCCTTGGAGCAAACGCCGGGACATGTGTGTAATATTTTTCGATTTAGTATCACCAGAAAAAAAAAAGATGAAAATTATTACACAATGGTATATTATTTCCAAAGAATTTAACATTAAAATTAACATTACTATCTTTGTAACATTAAGGAAAATAAATAGAAAGGGACTCCTAACATTGGCCTAAATATTTTATTTCTTATCATTGATAATTTGCTAAAAAAAAAATAGACCACATTGCTTCAGTTAATGTAAAATATTCAAAAAAACTAATAACCAAAAAAATATATATAGGCTTTGTAATTTCATTATGGAATATAGCAAACCAAAATTGGTGACCCACTGACTAAAGCCCCCTCCCAGTTGTTAGTGAATTTTAATAATAACCCGACGTTATTGTTATTGTCATTGTAATTACTGAACGTTTGACTTTGGACTTCATTTTAAATTAATCTCTGTCTCCTTTTTAAGGATTTTTGTGAAGAAGGCTTATGTCTATTTGCAATATATTGAGAATAATGTAAAAAATATTTTTTTTTTATAATAGTTTTAATCTGTGGTCATTTTTACAATCATCTTAACCTTTTATTTGTGTTAATAAAACTTTTGAAAAATATTTCTGGCAAATTAGTAGCACAAACGAAACTGAAAAATGTGTATTTTCATTTGTCTATAAGTATCGAGACGATTAGCGAGGGAGCTTCGTTTGAAATATTTAAGAAAGAACACTCTCAAAATGTGTGAAAAGTCTTAATTTTCGTAAGATATGTTATTATACGATAAAATTAACAAAATGTTGTATTAAAGATTATTTTCTTGAGATTCTTAGTATAAACAAAACAGCGACTATGGATGAGATTGCACTTAATGCTATGAACTTCTTGTATACTCGGTAATGTTGTGGAATTTAAGCATTTGATTTAATAGAACGTGATTCTTTATAATTTTTCATTAATTCTACTTATAATTCTTTTTTAATTTTGCTTATATTTTTTTTAAACTTTTGCTTCTACACACAGAACAAGATATGTCTCGACAATAAGGAATTTTTCTGTCGGTGGCGATATGACGATATAGTTGTTTTACTATATATTGTATTATAGCAACCACTCAGAGCGCAATTATCTGCAGCGATACAGACAAAGGGATATCGTTTCGTCGAAACATGTCGCGTTCTGTGTATAGAAGCCTTACTTTTTTAATCTGTGTACAGTTTTTATTATTTAACTCGGGAGTCTATCGAAACGTTTTGGTTCGCGTGCAACGTTCAGACCTCCACTAAGTCCCGCGGTCCGTATTGAAGACGTCCTTGTAAGTCCCGCGGGCCATGGCTTACTATGAAAAATATCATGTTCTATGAATGACTCTTTATCTGTTAAATGAGCTGTCTTAAGAGAAACAACTTATGCAGTAAATGTGTGTAGTAAACTCGTGTTCGAGTGATTTACTAAAATTCATATTTTTAACATGTAATCATTAAAACTTTCTCAGATCGTAGTTTATACATAAATATACATACAAAGAATCTGTGTTAGGTATTCAACATACCTGTAGCCTTCAGCATGGCTTCTTATCAGCAGAGGAGTCTGGTGTTTACTAACTGCTTTTGTGATGCTAATCAGGTTAAACTGAATCGTGACAATAATAATAAACCTCTAATACTTCATTCTTGTTGTTTTGTATTTATTACCGTACAGTAATCACTATTTAAGTTATTGTAAAAACAGAGAACACTGGCGGGTCCACGGAGGGGGAGGGGAAAGAGAGGGGGCCTTTATGCAGTAGCTCCCCAAAATAGCAAAATAATATATTTTTCATTTGACCAAATTTGTTTCTTTACTGAGCTCAGCGAAATCCTTAAATAATCACAATACAAACGTGTCATGAAAAATAGAAAAGCATTATTGTTCATCTGTCTTTTTAAAACTTTTTTAATTAACTGGTCTTTATATAGCTAACAATTGTTTCTTCCCAGAATAATTACCGTTAAAAAAAATAAAATAAAAAACTCCTCTAAATTAAATCATGAATAATTCACCGAAAGAGTATCGGAAGTAGTTATATTGTTAATTAACAATACGTTTTTAATAATAAGAATCCAATCCATTTAAAATCAACATGGTATTTTTACACAACTTTCAATTGTTCTTTACACAAACTTCAATCACGGAACTAAGTATTTGTACGTTTTTAAAATTAGTTTTATATTATGAATTGCTTATAATGTATTATTCTGTTTACAGGTACAATTTTAGTTGAAATTAAGTGGCGCTTAAGACTTAATTTGTTTTCAGCTATTGCAGTAGCGCCGTAAAATTTGTTTAGGAGGGCACATTTTTACATGGTTAAGAATTTATGGAGAGAACCATATTTTTATGGAATTTCGATTTTAAGTAACTTCCAAACCAGAGAACAAAGGGAAAATTATGAAACAGACAGCAAGTTTTCTTGTTTATGATTTAAATTGTTTTGTTTCGGTCTGTTTTTTAAATAGAAAAGAGAAGTAAAATTTCTTGAGACAAAGGTGGAGCGTCATCGACCTTGTGGGAAAGGACATTCCTACAACTCGGAAAT